TAGACTTCAAGCCTCCTTGATCGGGTTCCTTCACCAGTTGGGATTTTTTTAAATAGTGTGTCTTATTCCTCCAGATAAACTTATAAATAATAGAATTGATCTTTTTTGTATTTTTTGGGTGAATATATAACGACTGGCATGGGTATATTAATTTTGAGATACCGTCTGCTTTTGATAACAAATTTCTCCCAAAAATTGTTAAATCTCTAGTAAGCCAGTGATTTAGTTTTCCCTGCATTGATTCAATTTTTTCTTTCATGTTAATTTCTTCCCTCTTTTTTTCATCCTTGATCAATTTTATTCCTAAATATTTCACTTCATTTTTTACTGGGATTGATGATATTTCTGCTTCTTCACATGTATAAAGAGGAAGAAGTTCACATTTTTTCAAGTTTAAGCAGAGGCCTGAGGCTTTTGAGAAAATGTTGATTATATCCAATGTATTTTTAACCATATTTTTATCTTGTAGAAAGAACACTGTATCATCTGCAAACTGACTGAGACGAAACTCGTGGTCAAAGAACTCGATACCTTGAAAATCTGGGTGATTAATGATAAGACAAGCAAGAAGTTGTGTACATAAAATAAATATTTTGGGAGAAATTGGACATCCTTGTCTTATACCACAGTTCACATTTATCCTGGGTGTAGTTCCCGAGTTTATTGAAATGTAACTATAAATTTCTGTATAAAACATTTTGATTATGGCACAAAATTTGGTTTCAAAACCAAAATATTGTAATGTTTGAAAAATAAAATCATGTTCTATTGAATCAAATGCTTTAAAGAAGTCAATGAATAATATTAGACTTTCTGTTTTTAATGTTGATTGATAGTCTATCATGTCTAATATTAATCTTACATTGTTATGAATATTTCTACCTTTAATAAATGCAGATTGCATGTTATCAATGACTTTGTCTACTACCTTCTTCAGTCTGTTTGCATATACTAAGGCTAACAATTTATAGTCATTGCATAATAGTGTAATAGGTCTCCAATTTTCTAATTTAGTTGAATCTTTGTTTGGTTTGGGCAGAAGGGTTATCAGGCCTGTTTTCATAGATGGAGAAAGAGTGCCTTCATTTATACAATCTTTAAATGTTTCAAATAATAAATCTTTGATATCTTTCCAAAAGAACTTAAGGAATTCAGAGGTCAAGCCATCGATACCAGGTGATTTGCCATTGCCCATTTCTTTCAAAGCGCTTTCAATTTCTGTAATATTTAAATCACTTTCAAGATATGCTTTATCTTCATCCTCCATTTTAGTAATTTGGTCTCCCATTAGTTCAAAAAGAAGCTCACAATCTTCTCTCCGGAAGTTTGATTTGTATAAGTCTGAATAGAAAAGGAAAATTTCATTTGAAATTTCCTCTGGATCCTCAATTATTGTATCATTCTTGCTTAGTTTACAAATTAACTTTTTTGATTGTCTTGATTTTTCCAACCCATAAAAATATGAAGTGTTTTTCTCTCCTTCTTCAATCCACCTTGCTCTGGAGCGTATAAAGGCACCATTGGCTCTTATCAAATACATATCATCAAGTTCTTTTTGGAGGGCGTTTAACTCTGCTGCTTCAACATCTAAAGGGTTAGGATTACTACATATTACATTTATTTTCCCAACAATTTTTTTTGTTTTTGTTTGTTCTGTATTGAAAGGTTTTTGCCCGTAACAATAGCCAATCGTTTGGATTCAAACTTAAACCACTCCCACTTTCCTTTACTTGTCATATCCATCCCTTTAACTTTCACACCAAGATTCTGTATTTCTTTTATAAATATTTCATTTGTTAGAAGCCCATTGTTAAATTTCCATACATTACAATTTGAGCGTCTTTGCTTACAAAGTGCTAAGGACAAGAGTATAAGGCAGTGATCAGTGAGTGGAGATTGTTGAATTTCACATTTATTTATATATTTGTTTAGTGACGGTGAAGTAAGCCAATAATCTATCCTTGACCGCTGGTTGTTATTTGAGGCACTAATCCAAGTGTATTCCAATTTGGTTGGATTGCACAATCGCCAGTAATCAGCAGTGTTTGTTGATAGACAAAAGTTATGTATTGTGTCATTGAGATCAGGCTGTTGACCTCTGATAGGTGTTCTGTCTAACCAAGAGTTTTGGGCAGTATTGAAATCTCCACCAATTACTATATTCTCTGTTGCATGAGTGGTTTTCCATTCATTTATAAGCATCCTCAACTTATCCATCAGATTTTTATTTTGTACTCTATTGTTGTATCCATATAATGAAAGAATAATTATTTTTTGATTGCATGTTTCAATTGCTGCTATAATCCAATGACCTTCAGTGTCTACAAGATGACTTAATAATTTTCCTGAGAATTTGTTAAATAATAGTAGTTCCCCCGCCGAATGACTTGTGCCATGAGAGTATAACGCTTTGTCCCCCCACTGCTGTTTCCAAAAACCTTCATCTGCTGTACTTGAGTGCGTTTCTTGAAGAAAGATTAAATTGGCCTTAAAATCTTTACAAAATAAAAAAATTGCCTTGCGTTTAGTAACATTTTTCAAACCTCTAGCATTTAAAGAAATAAACAAAATTGACATTAGGAACTGCAAATAACCCTAGTGCTGAGATTGAACTAAGATGCAGGAATGAGTATTTTGTCCGTCAACATTTCAATGTTTCAACTAGCCCATCATAAATATAAAACTTTCAACTTACAACAATTATTTACTTACTTTCTTAAATTTTTTTTTTTTTTTTTTTAACCTTAAGGAGTGATCCATTCAGGCATTTTCAGTCTTTTCAGTCCTGTTGTCGCGTTATCTCAGGGCTCCACTCTTCTACCATCAATGAGTGCAAACCCCTCCCTCAGGTATGCCTTCTTCCCGGCACGTCTGGCTTCTTGTACTTGTGGCCACAGCTTGGCTCTGGCCTCACGATCCTCTTTGGAGAAGTCCTCTTTAAAAGTGATCTTCATTTCTTTGCAGATCCGAGCTTCCTTTGACTTCTTCCATATCTCATCTCTCACAGTGCGCATGGCAAACTGAATTATGATGGGTCTCGGCATGTTGTTGTTCACTGCTCCTCTTCTTCCCAAACGATGCACTATATCCACAGTGTCCCGGAGCTTGTCAACAGATGTAGGTATCACACGGGTGAGGATTCCAATGACCACCTCTCTGGTGTTCTCCTCGTCTTTCTCTGGAACCCCCAAAAGCCTCAGATCCCATCTCCTCTTGTATCTGGCACTTTCCAAGCATTGCTCTCTAAGTTTCTTGTTTTCTTCAGAGAGCAGCTTTACATTATCTTGTAACTCGACAATGTTATCTTTATTTTCCTTTACAGATTGACAAATATTCACAATACTTGTTTCAATACCTTCCAGCTTTTTTTCCAGAACGTCAAACTTTTTTAGGTCTGCCTTCACTCCATCCACACGTGTTTCAATGATCCCCAGCTTGCCATCCAAACCATCAAACCTTGACATTATTGATTGGAACACCACCGCGAGGTTGCTGCTCTCTCCATCTTCTTTATTCGTCCCGGTTCTCCTTTTAATTCTTTTGGGGTTTGGGCTGCTTAGTGGTTCTCCATATGGTCTAGTGTCTTCAGGATATTGTTCCATATCAGCAATTTCGTCTTCCTCGCACACGTGTTTTGATGTGGTCTCACTGTAATCATGCTCATTTAAGCTAACCTGTTCGGGGTTAGCCATCATGCCAATGTGTCGTAAATGACCAAGATGTCCTCCTTCGCACACTATCGAAACTTATCTGAGTGAATTAAGAAAGGTCTCTTTCCTCAACCGTTGGGCTAGTTCTTCCTTCGTAAGTTCAACTTTGGACTTTACATTCCGTGTTCTCCGTCAGACCCGCTTTGGTCGCCACCGCTCATTCCGCCATCTTAGCAGCCTCTCGCTCAGTGGCGCTTTGTGACGGCATGGGGGCTGAAAGATTACTATGCAATATCCGCTTTGTGACGGCATGGGGGCTGAAAGATTACTATGCAATATCCGCTTTGTGACGGCATGGGGGCTGAAAGATTAGCGGAAGTCGCCTGAAACTCTCAAAGATCTATGGGAAACTCGCCTGTATTTGGGCATCGTCTGGTCCTCCCGGTTCTGCGCAGTGGATGATCTCCCATAATGCGTTGCGCCAAACACGCGTGTGTGGGTCTCACACCAGGTCTCACGCACGTGCACAGAGGGGCTCGGCCGCGCTCTGACCAATCAGAGCAGTTCATCAGAGCGGGAGTTAGAGCGAGAGCCAGAGGAGCAGAGTTTGTGGCACTAAAGTGTGGATTTAAACAAAACCGAAGGATTTAAGAAGAAAAAAAGTTCAGGATGACAAGGTACACTAAAATCCCCACAAAATCCGATCTTTATTAAAGCTGTAGGTTCTCTGTCAGCTGAGGTTGAGCTGTTTTAATATGCATTGAGTTCTATGGGGAAAATTTCTGGGTAGCCCACGTGAATTTAGTCTGGTCTAGTCTGCAGTACCGCGAGAATCCCCCGAGCACATGGGTTATTCAGCTACAAGCTAGTAATACCCTATCCAGTTAATATAATACATCCATGGGAATAACATGTGAGCATATAGTGTGGCGTCCCCTGCTGGCCGCTTGGGTTATTACACACACAAACCAGCGTCACATTGAACAAGAGAATACAAGTTATTTTTCAGCAGATGTGGCAGAAGTCTGGGGGGGAAAAAAGAATTAATTAGTACAACCTTTATTATGTACTTAAAGCTGGAGTACCTCACTTTATTTTTATCCAATATTGCATGTATTTTTTTCCCAATTTAAAGAGTCTTATATTCTTGATCATCTGTGTAAAGTATAGTATCTGGAAAACTCTTAATATTCTTTACTTACACAACAACAACTTGAGCAGGAGGAAAAACTTGTTTATTCATGTTTTAAACTTGTGGAATTCTTTGATAATCTGGAAAGTTGCTGAAATGACAGGTGTCGCTCAGATCAGTTGTATTTCTTGCCTTTTGATTCTCCAGATCCTGTCTCTTCAGAGGACAGCGGCGTTGATAAACTGTGAGCACAAAGAAAGACTTATATAAATATAGTCATGTTTGGCCCTGGTTTTGGTCATAGACTGTAATTAGTAACAAATGTAGTCGCGCCTATCTCCACCGGTGAAAGAGCCTGGTTTGTCCTGGTCTTGGTCAGTGTCTTTGAAGAGCCTGGTTTGGTCCTGGTCTTGGTCTTGGTCTCTGAAGAGCCTGGTTTGGTCCTGGTCTTGGTCAGTGTCTCCGAAGAGCCTGGTTTGGTCCTGGTCTTGGTCTGTGTCTTTGAAGAGCCTGGTTTGGTCCTGGTCTTGGTCAGTGTCTTTGAAGACCCTGGTTTGGTCCTGGTCTTGGTCAGTGTCTTTGAAGAGCCTGGTTTGGTCCTGGTCTTGGTCAGTGTCTTTGAAGAGCCTGGTTTGGTCCTGGTTTTGGTCAGTGTCTTTGAAGACCCTGGTTTGGTCCTGGTCTTGGTCAGTGTCTTTGAAGACCCTGGTTTGGTCCTGGTCTTGGTCAGTGTCTTTGAAGACTCTGGTTTGGTCCTGGTCTTGGTCAGTGTCTTTGAAGAGCCTGGTTTGGTCCTGGTCTTGGTCTGTGTCTTTGAAGAGCCTGGTTTGGTCCTGGTCTTGGTCAGTGTCTTTGAAGACCCTGGTTTGGTCCTGGTCTTGGTCAGTGTCTTTGAAGAGCCTGGTTTGGTCCTGGTCTTGGTCAGTGTCTTTGAAGAGCCTGGTTTGGTCCTGGTCTTGGTCAGTGTCTTTGAAGAGTCTGGTTTGGTCCTGGTCTTGGTCAGTGTCTTTGAAGAGCCTGGTTTGGTCCTGATCTTGGTCAGTGTCTTTGAAGATCCTGGTTTGGTCCTGGTCTTGGTCAGTGTCTTTGAAGACCCTGGTTTGGTCCTGGTCTTGGTCAGTGTCTTTGAAGACCCTGGTTTGGTCCTGGTCTTGGTCAGTGTCTTTGAAGAGTCTGGTTTGGTCCTGGTCTTGGTCAGTGTCTTTGAAGAGCCTGGTTTGGTCCTGGTCTTGGTCAGTGTCTTTGAAGAGCCTGGTTTGGTCCTGGTCTTGGTCAGTGTCTTTGAAGAGCCTGGTTTGGTCCTGGTCTTGGTCAGTGTCTCTGAAGAGCCTGGTTTGGCCCTGGTCTTGGTCAGTGTCTTTGAAGAGCCTGGTTTGGTCCTGGTCTTGGTCTTGATCAGTGTCTTTGAAGAGCCTGGTTTGGTCCTGGTCTTAGTCTTGGTCTCTGAAGAGCCTGGTTTGGTCCTGGTCTTGGTCAGTGTCTTTGAAGAGCCTGGTTTGGTCCTGGTCTTGGTCAGTGTCTTTGAAGAGTCTGGTTTGGTCCTGGTCTTGGTCAGTGTCTTTGAAGAGCCTGGTTTGGTCCTGGTCTTGGTCAGTGTCTTTGAAGAGCCTGGTTTGGTCCTGGTCTTGGTCAGTGTCTTTGAAGATCCTGGTTTGGTCCTGGTCTTGGTCAGTGTCTTTGAAGACCCTGGTTTGGTCCTGGTCTTGGTCAGTGTCTTTGAAGACCCTGGTTTGGTCCTGGTCTTGGTCAGTGTCTTTGAAGAGTCTGGTTTGGTCCTGGTCTTGGTCAGTGTCTTTGAAGAGCCTGGTTTGGTCCTGGTCTTGGTCAGTGTCTTTGAAGAGCCTGGTTTGGTCCTGGTCTTGGTCAGTGTCTTTGAAGAGCCTGGTTTGGTCCTGGTCTTGGTCAGTGTCTCTGAAGAGCCTGGTTTGGCCCTGGTCTTGGTCAGTGTCTTTGAAGAGCCTGGTTTGGTCCTGGTCTTGGTCTTGATCAGTGTCTTTGAAGAGCCTGGTTTGGTCCTGGTCTTAGTCTTGGTCTCTGAAGAGCCTGGTTTGGTCCTGGTCTTGGTCAGTGTCTCCGAAGAGCCTGGTTTGGTCCTGGTCTTGGTCTGTGTCTTTGAAGAGCCTGGTTTGGTCCTGGTCTTGGTCAGTGTCTTTGAAGAGCCTGGTTTGGTCCTGGTCTTGGTCAGTGTCTTTGAAGAGCCTGGTTTGGTCCTGGTCTTGGTCAGTGTCTTTGAAGAGCCTGGTTTGGTCCTGGTCTTGGTCAGTGTCTTTGAAGAGCCTGGTTTGGTCCTGGTTTTGGTCAGTGTCTTTGAAGAGCCTGGTTTGGTCCTGGTCTTGGTCAGTGTCTTTGAAGACCCTGGTTTGGTCCTGGTCTTGGTCAGTGTCTTTGAAGAGCCTGGTTTGGTCCTGGTCTTGGTCAGTGTCTTTGAAGAGCCTGGTTTGGTCCTGGTCTTGGTCAGTGTCTTTGAAGAGCCTGGTTTGGTCCTGGTCTTGGTCAGTGTCTTTGAAGACCCTGGTTTGGTCCTGGTCTTGGTCAGTGTCTTTGAAGACCCTGGTTTGGTCCTGGTCTTGGTCAGTGTCTTTGAAGAGCCTGGTTTGGTCCTGGTCTTGGTCAGTGTCTCTGAAGAGCTTGGTTTGGCCCTGGTCTTGGTCAGTGTCTTTGAAGAGCCTGGTTTGGTCCTGGTCTTGGTCAGTGTCTTTGAAGACCCTGGTTTGGTTCTGGCCTTGGTCTCTGAAGAGCCTGGTTTGGTCTTGGTCTTGGTCTTGGTCTCTGAAGAGCCTGGTTTGGTCCTGGTCTTGGTCAGTGTCTCTGAAGACCCTGGTTTGGTCTTGGTCTTGGTCAGTGTCTTTGAAGACCCTGGTTTGGTCCTGGTCTTGGTCAGTGTCTTTGAAGAGCCTGGTTTGGTCCTGGTCTTGGTCTCTGAAGAGCCTGGTTTGGTCCTGGTCTTGGTCAGTGTCTCTGAAGACCCTGCTTTGGTCTTGGTCAGTGTCTTTGAAGAGCCTGGTTTGTTCCTGGTCTTGGTCAGTGTCTTTGAAGAGCCTGGTTTGGTCCTGGTCTTGGTCTTGGTCAGTGTCTTTGAAGACCTGGGTTTGGTCCTGGTCTTGGTCAGTGTCTCTGAAGAGCCTGGTTTGGTCCTGGTCTTGGTCAGTGTCTTTGAAGGGCCTGGTTTGGTCCTGGTCTTGGTCTCTGAAAAGCCTGGTTTGGTCCTGGTCTTGGTCAGTGTCCCTGGGGGCAGTAGTTTGACCCTGGTCTCTCACCTGTATGAAGGAGAAGCTGGCCACTTGGCACTCTTCACACGGCAGGTTCAGCAAACGAGACTCAAACCGATCTACAAACACAGGCGTGACACAGAGGGTAAATATACAGTCATGTATTTGGTACAAAATACATGAAAAACTACACATTCTTTTGTTGGCCAAGAGTTTCCTTTTGATATCAATATGGAATACGATACTATAGATCCAAATTCCAATTTTCTTTTGTTTCTCTTTTTTTCCATAGTAATCTTTGTTTGGAAGCATCAAGAAAGGAAGTGACAAATTGCAAAAACAATGCAAATACATATTTACATGAGATTTATACAGATAAGGAATAAAAGAAAGTAGGGAGGGGGGTTCTAATTTGATTTAATGCATTTTGGGGTGTAGTGTGTGTGTGTCAGTGGGGGAGGGTCCCGGCTCAAAAGTGGCCAAAATGACGTGCGCTGACATGCTGCAATACCACCCCGGGCCTGTGGGGGTGACCCAGAAGTAGAATTAGCCAATGCTAACATATAGCGTTGGCAGACCTCTGGAAAACGTCTTTACAGGATGGACCAAAAGTTGTCTCTTGGCCCAAAGCTCCGTTCCACATGTGTGTCAATGCTGAGGGGTGTTTTGGTCCACTCTAGTTTACTCGCGGTGAATTATTGAAGTCACTCGTTCAAATGAATGGGCCTCGTGCAGCTGACGCATGCGCAGATGCGTTTTTTCACATTTTCCAGCTCCCGTGGCCATTTTTGAAAGCACAATTTTTGGCCCATCAGTTAGAACGGCGGAGATAGGCGTGACTACGTCCGTTAATAAATACAGTCTATGGTGTGTGTGTGTGTGTGTGTGGGTCACTGTTATTGCTGGATATTGCCATAAAATAAATTGTTAGTTAAATTCAGTTAATGCACTTTTCCATCTCAAGCCCGAGACCGGAAAATTGGAAAATGTAACAGGGTTCTATTCTCGCATTGTGTATTGACTCAAGCAGCTTATGTTTTGGGCCTGGTCTTGCTCAGAGTCCCCAGGGGCCGTGGTCTGGCCCTGGTCTTGGTCTTGGTCGTGGTACCTTTGAGGACCTGCAGCCTGGTGACCACAGCCACAAAGTCGTCGAAGTCGATGCTGTTGCCCTGACTGTTCCTGTACAGTCTCCACAGAGGCTCCACCATCTTCCGGTCCATCGCCACCAGACCTGGACCCATCACCACAAACACTCTATACAGGTGTTTTTACCTGATGTGAACACTGGGAAATGTATTACAATGAGATTTTAAATGCAAATGTAAAATAATCTGAATGTCAAGAGAAAATGGGTCGGAATCAAAGTAAAACAATTGCATTGCAAAAATGGGAGGGTTTTGTATAAGTTTAAGTACATCTACCTACTCTGAATGTTTCTTTTCTCTTTAAAATATGTGCAAAAGCCAGGGATACATTGTAAAATACAGCTACAGAGGACACTACTGAGGTGCAAGAGCAGGACTGAGGGCTACAGGAAGACCAGAAGGAGATCAGAGAGACCAAACAGAGACCAGAGGGAGACCAGAAAGACCAGAGATAGAACAGAAAGAGAGAACTGACTAACTAACCTCAAAAATATTGCAAACATGTAAATTAAAAACATGGCCTACAGAATCCTTGCGTGAGTATGATAGTAGGAGCACATCACCCCAGTTCTGTGTTCACTTGATCGGTTTCTTCCAAAAACAAATTCAAAGCTCTTAAGTTAGCGGTCACTTCTTCTTAAGTTTTGTTTTTTGTAAATATCCTGTGTTCAATCCATATCTTTCTATCTATCCATCTTTCTATCTAATAATCATGGAGACTGCTCTACTGCAGGCAGAAAAGAGCTCCACTTCTACCCAAGACAAACTGGATTCTACCATCCAGCCTTACTCCGAAAGGCTTTGAGTCAAACCACGGGGAAACTGCAGAAGGCATGAGGAGGTTGGAAACTGTGAATAAGAAGTCTGCTTTAAAGACAGACGCAGTGATTAGACACCTGCAGAATGAGCTTGTGCTGGTCAAGTGTGAGAACCATGAGACTATAGACCTCCTGAACTCTAGTATACAAGAAGGTAACAGTTTCATAGACCAGCTCAAGACCCAGATGCAGGACAGAGACAATAGTAGTAAGTAGTAGTAGTAATATTTATTTATATACCGCCTTTCACAGACCAGAGTCACAAAGCGGTTTACAATTGTTATTTTTTGGGCACTTGTCTCTCACTCTACACAGAGATGGAGCAGGGTCGCCGAACAGGAGGCACATGCCAGACCTATTGTACATATTTTTAGTGGTAGGGGAAACCGGAGTACCCGGAGGAAACCTACGCAGACACGGGGAGAACATGCAAACTCCACTCAGAAAGGCCCTGGTTCGGCCGGGATTCGAACCCAGGACCTTCTTGCTGAGAGGCGAGAGTGCTATCTACTTAGACAATAAATTCCCGGTTGTAAGAAAATCGGGCAAACACCCAGAAAGAGTTGGAGTAACGTAGCACAAATTTCCTCATGAAAAACTCTGTAATTGCCGAGATGGAGGAGGAGCCCGCGAGATCAAGCTTTAGTGTGGTGCGTTCAGGGTCATGGGGGAAGTGTGATACCGCGTTTGAAGAGCGCCACCAGCAGCTGATCCTCTGTCACTGCAGGCGGAGTGCGTCCCATGTTCATCTCCACGTACTCCCTCCTCACAGACGCGACAAAGTGCTCCATGTTGAAGAACTCCACAGAGCTGAGGCCTCCGGTGTGGTCTGCCTGTGTGCGCTCAGGAAACGACACACACTCTGGACACGCTTTACTAAAGACACGACATGCTTCAGTCTGCTGTGGTGAGAGAGAGACACACACACACACACACACACACTCACACACACTGGACTGATCTGTAAACTCACACGCTTAAAGGATACGTCTGCGAGGGTGAGCAGCAGATAAGCCGTCCTCAGACTGACACCTGAACGGAGACAAACAAACTATTCATGCATACAGTAAATTATTATACTCTGGTCTCTCTCTGGTCTCGCTCTGGTTCCTCTCTCTCTGGTTCCTCTCTCTCTCTGGTCTCTCTTTGGTCTCTCTCTGGTCTCTCTCTGGTCTCTCTCTGGTCTCTCTCTGGTCTCTCTCTTGTCTCTCTCTTGTCTCTCTCTGGTCTCTCTCTGGTCTCTCTCTGGTCTCTCTCTGGGCTCTCTCTTGTCTCTCTCTTGTCTCTCTCTCTTGTCTCTCTCTGGTCTCTCTCTGGTCTCTCTCTGGTCTCTCTCTGGTCTCTCTCTGGTCTCTCTCTGGTCTCTCTCTTGTCTCTCTCTTGTCTCTCTCTTGTCTCTCTCTCTTGTCTCTCTCTTGTCTCTCTCTGGTCTCTCTCTCTGGTCTCTCTCTGGTCTCTCTCTGGTCTCTCTCTCTGGTCTCTCTCTGGTCTCTCTCTGGTCTCTCTCTGGTCTCTCTCTGGTCTCTCTCTGGTCTATCTCTCTGGTCTATCTCTCTGGTCTATCTCTGGTCTCTCTCTGGTCTCTCTCTGGTCTCTCTCTGGTCTCTCTCTGGTCTCTCTCTGGTCTCTCTCTGGTCTTTCTCTGGTCTTTCTCTGGTTTCTCTCTGGTCTCTCTCTGGTCTCTCTCTGGTCTCTCTCTGGTCTCTCTCTGTTATGGCTCTGGTCTCTCTCTCTTGTCTCTCTCTGGTCTCTCTCTGGTCTCTCTCTGGTCTTTCTCTGGTCTTTCTCTGGTTTCTCTCTGGTCTCTCTCTGGTCTCTCTCTGGTCTCTCTCTGGTCTCTCTCTGGTCTCTCTCTGTTATGGCTCTGGTCTCTCTCTCTTGTCTCTCTCTGGTCTCTCTCTGGTCTCTCTCTTGTCTCTCTCTCTTCTCTCTCTCTGGTCTCTCTCTGGTCTCTCTCTGGTCTCTCTCTGGTCTCTCTCTCTTGTCTCTCTCTTGTCTCTCTCTTGTCTCTCTCTGGTCTCTCTCTCTGGTCTCTCTCTGGTCTCTCTCTGGTCTCTCTCTGGTCTCTCTCTCTGGTCTCTCTCTGGTCTCTCTCTGGTCTCTCTCTCTGGTCTCTCTCTGGTCTCTCTCTGGTCTCTCTCTGGTCTCTCTATGGTCTATCTCTCTGGTCTATCTCTGGTCTCTCTCTGGTCTATCTCTGGTCTCTCTCTGGTCTCTCTCTCTTGTCTCTCTCTGGTCTATCTCTGGTCTCTCTCTGGTCTCTCTCTGGTCTCTCTCTCTGGTCTCTCTCTCTGGTCTCTCTCTCTGGTCTCTCTCTGGTCTCTCTCTGGTCTCTCTCTGGTCTCTCTCTGGTCTATCTCTCTGGTCTATCTCTGGTCTCTCTCTGGTCTCTCTCTGGTCTCTCTCTGGTCTATCTCTGGTCTCTCTCTAGTCTCTCTCTCTGGTCTCTCTCTCTGGTCTCTCTCTGGTCTCTCTCTGGTCTCTCTCTTGTCTCTCTCTGGTCTCTCTCTCTGGTCTCTCTCTGGTCTCTCTCTGGTCTCTCTCTCTTGTCTCTCTCTGGTCTCTCTCTGGTCTCTCTCTGGTCTTTCTCTGGTCTCTCTCTGGTTTCTCTCTGGTCTCTCTCTTGTCTCTCTCTGGTCTCTCTCTGGTCTCTCTCTGTTCTGGCTCTGGTCTCTCTCTCTTTGGTCTCTCTCTCTTGTCTCTCTCTGGTCTCTCTCTGGTCTTTCTCTGGTCTCTCTCTTGTCTCTCTCTTGTCTCTCTCTTGTCTCTCTCTGGTCTCTCTCTGGGCTCTCTCTGGGCTCTCTCTTGTCTCTCTCTTGTCTCTCTCTCTTGTCTCTCTCTTGTCTCTCTCTGGTCTCTCTCTGGTCTCTCTCTGGTCTCTCTCTGGTCTCTCTCTTGTCTCTCTCTTGTCTCTCTCTTGTCTCTCTCTCTTGTCTCTCTCTTGTCTCTCTCTGGTCTCTCTCTCTGGTCTCTCTCTGGTCTCTCTCTGGTCTCTCTCTCTGGTCTCTCTCTGGTCTCTCTCTGGTCTCTCTCTCTGGTCTCTCTCTGGTCTCTCTCTGGTCTCTCTCTGGTCTCTCTCTGGTCTATCTCTCTGGTCTATCTCTGGTCTCTCTCTGGTCTCTCTCTGGTCTCTCTCTGGTCTCTCTCTGGTCTCTCTCTGGTCTCTCTCTGGTCTTTCTCTGGTCTTTCTCTGGTTTCTCTCTGGTCTCTCTCTGGTCTCTCTCTGGTCTCTCTCTGGTCTCTCTCTCTCTGGTCTCTCTCTCTTGTCTCTCTCTGGTCTCTCTCTGGTCTCTCTCTTGTCTCTCTCTTGTCTCTCTCTCTTGTCTCTCTCTGGTCTCTCTCTGGTCTCTCTCTGGTCTCTCTCTGGTCTCTCTCTCTTGTCTCTCTCTTGTCTCTCTCTTGTCTCTCTCTGGTCTCTCTCTCTGGTCTCTCTCTGGTCTCTCTCTGGTCTCTCTCTGGTCTCTCTCTCTGGTCTCTCTCTGGTCTCTCTCTGGTCTCTCTCTGGTCTCTCTCTGGTCTCTCTCTGGTCTCTCTCTGGTCTCTCTCTGGTCTCTCTCTGGTCTATCTCTCTGGTCTATCTCTGGTCTCTCTCTGGTCTCTCTCTCTGGTCTCTCTCTGGTCTCTCTCTGGTCTCTCTCTGGTCTCTCTCTGGTCTCTCTCTGGTCTCTCTCTGGTCTCTCTCTGGTCTATCTCTCTGGTCTCTCTCTGGTCTCTCTCTGGTCTCTCTCTGGTCTCTCTCTGGTCTCTCTCTGGTCTCTCTCTGGTCTCTCTCTCTTGTCTCTCTCTGGTCTCTCTCTCTGGTCTCTCTCTGGTCTCTCTCTGGTCTCTCTCTCTGGTCTCTCTCTGGTCTCTCTCTGGTCTCTCTCTCTTGTCTCTCTCTTGTCTCTCTCTTGTCTCTCTCTGGTCTCTCTCTGGTCTCTCTCTGGTCTCTCTCTGGTCTCTCTCTCTTGTCTCTCTCTGGTCTCTCTCTCTGGTCTCTCTCTGGTCTCTCTCTGGTCTCTCTCTCTGGTCTCTCTCTGGTCTCTCTCTCTCGGTCTCTCTCTGGTCTCTCTCTGGTCTCTCTCTCTGGTCTCTCTCTGGTCTCTCTCTTGTCTCTCTCTGGTCTCTCTCTCTGGTCTCTCTCTGGTCTCTCTCTCTGGTCTCTCTCTCTGGTCTCTCTCTTGTCTCTCTCTGGTCTCTCTCTCTGGTCTCTCTCTCTGGTCTCTCTCTCTTGTCTCTCTCTGGTCTCTCTCTCTGGTCTCTCTCTCTGGTCTCTCTCTGGTCTCTCTCTGGTCTCTCTCTGGTCTCTCTCTGGTCTCTCTCTCTGGTCTCTCTCTGGTCTCTCTCTGGTCTCTCTCTGGTCTCTCTCTCTTGTCTCTCTCTGGTCTCTCTCTCTGGTCTCTCTCTGGTCTCTCTCTGGTCTCTCTCTGGTCTCTCTCTCTGGTCTCTCTCTGGTCTCTCTCTGGTCTCTCTCTCTGGTCTCTCTCTGGTCTCTCTCTGGTCTCTCTCTGGTCTATCTCTCTGGTCTAGCTCTGGTCTCTCTCTGGTCTCTCTCTGGTCTCTCTCTCTCTCTCTGGTCTCTCTCTGGTCTCTCTCTGGTCTCTCTCTGGTCTCTCTCTCTGGTCTCTCTCTGGTCTCTCTCTGGTCTCTCTCTGGTCTATCTCTCTGGTCTAGCTCTGGTCTCTCTCTGGTCTCTCTCTCTGGTCTCTCTCTGGTCTCTCTCTGGTCTCTCTCTGGTCTCTCTCTGGTCTCTCTCTCTGGTCTCTCTCTGGTATCTCTCTGGTCTCTCTCTGGTCTCTCTCTGGTCTCTCTCTGGTCTCTCTCTGGTCTCTCTCTCTGGTCTCTCTCTGGTCTCTCTCTGGTCTATCTCTCTGGTCTGCTCTGGTCTCTCTCTGGTCTCTCTCTCTTCTCTCTCTCTGGTCTCTCTCTGGTCTCTCTCTGGTCTCTCTCTGGTCTCTCTCTGGTCTCTCTCTGGTCTCTCTCTGGGCTCTCTCTCTGGTCTCTCTCTGGTCTCTCTCTCTGGTCTCTCTCTGGTCTCTTCTTGTAGAAAGGTTAAATATTTATATGAGCATAAACTGAGACTGACTGTTCCCGTAGACAGAGAAGCCTCCAGCGTTGAGTCGTGTGAGGATCTGCTTTGCGCTGGCCTGCGGGGAATTAATCCAGAGAGTGACTTTAAAGCTGGGGTGCGTAACTCACAAATCACAACAATAGAACTCTGTAATAAAACCCATGTCTGTAGTTCCTGGCTTCTATAACGAGTTTTCACAAAAATGTATTTTTGGACTTTTTCATCTTTAGCCCTTTAATTTTCACTTCTTGAAGAAAGCAATGCATTTTTTTTCTTGTTAGTTAAAAAATAATATATAATTAAAGCTGCAAGCAGCGTTGAACGGCCCTCGCCACACCGCGCCATCTTCCTACAGCCCTGATGGGAGCGACACTGTGTATTTTGAATGCCTATGATCAGTGATTGTGTGTCTCTTGGATTGTGCCATTGACACATAATGGGGAGTGTTTGTCGTCGCCACGGCAACAAAGTAAAAAATAAGTCATTGGTCTGATTGACTTTTTGAATCAGAATGGTGAAACAGAATTATGTACAAAAATTCAAATATTTTGAAATAAATACATGTCTTTCTGCCCGTGTAAAACTTGACTGTAGGGAGCACAAATGCTGCAATTTCATGTTCACACTTTCAGTTTACCCAAACCCGAAAGTTTAACAAGTGCATGTCGCACTTTGTATCTGCAAACAGTAGCAATTACTTTGCATAATTGCGCCCCCTACAAATTAAATTTCTTAATTTTTTGTTCAGTGGGTCAAAGATGACATCAAACAGAAAATCTATATATACCTGTATCCTCATGTAAAACTTTTACTCAGTCTGTAGGGGGCGCTAATGGGCCCTAGGCCCAGGAGTTGAACAACCGAGTCAAGTTTAGTGTAAATCAGACTTTGTAAATGTGCTCTTGTTTGCACATACAATCTGTGAGTGTGTCCATATCATGCCCCGGCGATCCAAGATGGCGGCGTATTCAAATGAATGGTTTGTGCTCAGTGGTGCATTGTGCCGGCGTGGGCGCCGAAAGATTAGCGGATCTCATTTATATTTGGGCATCGTCTGGTCCTCCCGGTTGTGTGCAGTGGATGAACTCCCATGATGCGTTGCGCAAAATACGCATGTGTGGCTCTCATGCACGTGCACAGAGGGACTCGGCCGCGCTTTGACCAATCAGAGCTGCTGTCAGAGCGGAGCAAGAGCGGGAAGAAAAGGAGCAGAGTTTGTGGCTGTAAAGTGTGGATTTAAAGAAAACCAAAGGATTTAAGAAGAAAAAAGTTCAGGGTGTCAAGGGACACTAAAATCCCCACAAAATCCAACCTTTGTGAAAGCTGTAGGTTCTCTGTCAGGTTCTCTGTCCGCTGAGGTCGCGCTGTTTTAGTTTACATTGAGTTCTATGGGTCTTGTCTAGTCTGCCACGAGCACATGGGTTCTTACTCCAAGCTAATAATACCCTATCCAGTTATTATAATAGATCCATGGTCCATACAGTCTCCATGTATATGTCTCGAGCTTAATAAATAGATGAGGATTTTTTTCCAAAAATCTAGGAGCAAAAACAATATAGGTTTTTGCTCATTTGTATAATACAAATGATACATAGTATTTAAGCGAACGAGCGGACGAACAAAACTATTGTGTCTGGGCACGCGCCGTCGGGCTTGGGGTAAGACAGTTGAAGTCACCCAGCCCTAACATAGGACCCCAGTCATTTCACTGGGTACAGCAGGAGTAACGCCATTCCGAGCTTTTGGGCTCGTCCCGTGGCGGTGATTGTGACTTCTGACTGGGCTTTGCCCCGGCATTACTCGCTGAGAAAACAACAGGCCCTTATCCCTGTTGGGGCTCTGGCCTTATTAAACAATGTTAATGAAATAAGAACTCAGCACTTACCTCAGTGTCACCATCCTCCTGCCAAAACATGAACAGAAATAGCATTTAGTCAGCAAATATCATATTTGGCTTTAATGTGTGCATATGATTGTACAGTCTATGTTGATAAAGTATAACTGTGTTTCAAATGCAAATAAGTCTCTTTATTTATATAGGGCCTTTCACAGAGAGTCGTAAATGCCAGATCTACAGTCCTCTGAGATCAAGACTGAAGTGATTCAGGGCTGTACAAGAATACCTTAAACTGAATGGAATTGAGTCAATTGGGAAAGTTTCCACCGGCTGTGTTTAACCAGTTCCTCTTGACCCTTTTTTTATTCGGCCCAAACTGAATCCAATGTTGTCAGCTGTGACAAAGACTTCATTTCAAGTCCCAACTTAAGACCCATTTGTTTCAGCAGGTTTTCTCACCTTACATAGGCCTCTGGGTTCTGAGTTAATAATGCTTCTTCTGTATTTTTGTTTTTGGAATTGACTTGTATAGTTTTTAAGTGTCTGTTTCTAATTGTAAAGTTTTTAATTGTGAAGTGTAAAATAAAGTTCTCTTAAACTAACTCCTAAAGTTTGTCAACCTGAACTCACCGTGATGCAGTTCTTGGTGGGGAAGTTGTGGCACTCCAGCTCTCGGGGCCAGTTCATGTTTAAGTGTTCCATATTCCCACAGCTGTCTTTGGCTTTCTGACAGAAGGAGCGGCACGGGCGCTGCACCTCCCCCCGCACACACTTGGGGGCGTAGGCGAGGCACAGGAACAGGCGGATGTCCACTCTACAGAAGGTCTGGACCATGGAGTTGAAAAAGGACATCTGGACGGCGGCCTCGCGCTGGCTGCTGTGGCCCAGGAGGTTTGGGACCAGGGTCTGGGAGTAGGAAAGGTCCTGGCACATGGGCACGGTGATGGGCTGACAGATGCCGCCACTGCTGCCCACGCCAAACTGAAGCACAGACACAGAGAGGTGAGGGGTGTACACATGCAGAGAGTGAGGACCTCAGGGATCCTCAGGTCTACAAGTCAACAAAGTGAACCTGGGAAGGATATTGCAGACAAACATATATTAGGGCTGTCAAAATTATTGCGTTAATGCACGTTAATTGAATGTTTTCATTTTTTAAAATTACGCTTTTAACGCATGTGCCAAATGACTGGCACCCCGCGCGCGTGACCGCGGGGCAATTGCTGTGAATGGGAGTCCGCAGCGTTCTGGGTCAGCTGCGGGCGCTTTGGACAGCGGTTCCCGCACCCAGCAGCGGCTTAACAATCCGTCTCCCCCTAGTCCTCTCCCAAAGCGCAACGAAACTCGCTAAATTAAAACTTTTTCTTTACACTACCATTTCATGTTGTTTTTTTCCTAAAAGTAAAACATCGTGAGCAAATCAAACAGATTTAATGACAGCCATTGGCAGACATGCATTTCAGACTTTTTTCTCATTCTCATCCGTGTAACAAACAATAGTTTGTAGAGGCACAATAATGAAGAGGATCCACAGCCTTCATGAGACAGAAAAAGAAGAAATAGTGTCTACTACAGAAAGACAGAATGTTAATATTGTTAATGCCATTTTATGTGGATTTATTGTTAAAATAAACAAATACAGTACATATGTAAACTATGTTGTCATTTATCTTTCCATTCAAACAAACGTTTACAGAAAAATATGGCATCATTTTTCCGATAGTTCGAAATGCGATTAATTACGATTAATAATTTTTTAAGCTGTAATCGTTTGACAGCCCTAACATACATATAAGATATAAGATCATCATAAACATGATTCTTTTTGTCTAAATGTGGCCAGAGCAGCAGAGGCGGTCCCTCCAGCACGTCCCAGGGCTTTCAGGGGAGATATCCAGACAACATCAATGATCTCATCCTTTGACTGCCATTAGTCCCAGCCCCTATTTGGACCATTTCTCGTTCTTAAAGTCATTACCCAAAACCATGGACGCAGCTTCCCCACTGTGGCATCTGGTGTTCTCTGGTGCGACAGGGAAGGACTTAGCTTCAGAGATCTGAGGGTGAACCTGATTGGTCAAAAACGATGAATTGTGCTCATTCGATTTGATACATAAAACAATATGATTAGAAAGACTTTGCGTTGTTTCAGTTTTCTGATACAGTTTTCAGTTATGTTATTGTTTTCATAAACTCAAAAAGGTTGGGGGCCACTGGAGAAGAGGACCAGGGTCCACATGTTTGGTTGGTTTGGTTCTCTTCTCCACAAATGGAGAATAATTACCCCCTGAGAGATCTGAGTTTGACTCCGGTGAGACTCACGTGGGAGCAGGACGTGGTGTCGTACCGGTCACATGACAGCGTGTAGGGCCAGCTCGTGCCGATCTTCTGCAGCAGCGGTTCACAGGAGGAGCGCGCCTCCTCACACAACGTGCGGCAGGGTGCGCGCGCTCGGCCCTGGACGCACTCGGGCGTGTAGACCGAGCAGAGGAAGGGCTTCAGCGCTGGGGAGCAGCCGATCGTCACCAGGGACTGGAATCAATCAAAACATCAATCAAAGTTTATTTGTAGAGCGCATTTCTACAAAAACTCAGGCCCGTGGGTCAAATTCAGAGTCAAAGTCAGAGCTGCACCCAATGCACCCCTTTTAAATTCAATCCAATTTATTTGTGTATATAGCCCTAAATCACAACAGTAGTTGAAAGCAAGGATTTTTTTCTATCATTTTCAAACCTTTAGCTTTTTAATTATAGGCCTTTACTAAATGATTGCGATACAGCTTTTCGGTAAAAGTGCTTAAATCCAAGTGATAGAGATGCCCCAATGACGTAAATTTCTGTTCCAAGCTTCAAGAAGCGAAAGTGACTCAAAAAGTGATCCACAAACTGGTTGAGGAAACCATTAAAGGGCTTAAATCACAGATATTTTGAAACTAACATTAAAATCACACAAGGGAAACAAATCCTAAATACACAGTGATGTAAAAAGAGTAAAGATACAGTCGTTCAGTTGTTCGCACGGACAGAACATCTCAAACCTGGAAGTTTAGCAGCCGCAGCTCCTCAGCGATCTGCTGCTGCGAGCGGAGGCCCAGGGCGTTGGGCAGCAGCGTCAGCGCATACGGCAGGTCTGAGCACAGGGGCACCGAGATGGGCTCGCACCGCGCAGGGAGGGAGGGGGCCAGGGTGGGGGGCGCCTCCTGGAGGAACAGGCTGCACTTTAGATCCAAGTCTCAAGTCTTATTTTTATACTTTGGCCCAACAGTGAAAATAATGTAACATTAACCTTAACTGTAGATACAGGTTTGACGTGCAAAAAGCATTCCAACCTGGTCATGATCTCAAGCAAGTTCAGAGAGTTAGACCAGAGAGATCAGAGATCAGAGATCAGAGAGGGACCAGAGAGAGATCAGAGAGATCAAAGAGTTAGAAATACCAGAGAAATCAGAGAGAGAGACCAGGTTGAGGTTTGTGAGAGAGGTTTTTCAGCCTGGATGGAGACAAACAGAACTCCAGACAATATTGTATGATAATAACTCAAAATGGATGTCCTACACTCACCGGATCGCAGGTGTCGTTCTTGAAGTTGTGACAGGCCAGTTTATCCGGCCATTCGAAGCCAAACTTGTTCATGAGAGGTTCGCAGCCGGCCCTTGCACGCTCGCACATGCGGCTGCAGGGAGCGATGGTCTTCCCCATGAGGCACTCTGGGATGTACACAGAGCAGAGGAAGTCCTTCAGCTCCGGACTGCACTGCACTTTCACCAGTGGATAAAAGGTGTGCAGATCCAGCCCAGCCTCGTCCTGCCGCGTGTGCCCCATGTGGTTGGGCATTGCCGTGAGGTTATAGGACAGGTCGTTGCACAGGGGGGCTGTGATTGGCTCGCAGACCGCCGGGCTGCCACGTGAGAGGCCGCCCCTTGGCCCCTGCATTGCCCCCTGCAGCACAGTGTGAATGTTTAAATACTTTTTCTTGCTAACCAATATGAAATTGGAAAAAAATTGACAATGGTATTGCAATATCCCTCTTTTTTGTTGAGTGGTTCCTTCCTGATGCAGGAGGGTCGCAGGACAGTGATGATCCAGGACATTTAAGCACTTTATTCACATTTACGGGCAGTGGTCATCCCGCTGTCTATGAACGAATGGCTCCTATTTGTCCCAGTTAGTGTCAGGGTCCAGTCCAGAAGAACTCACCTGTACACAGTTGTCCTGGGGCAGACTGTCGCACCTCAGCCTCAGGGGCCAGTATATCCTCTTGGACTTGAGGGGAGCTTCACAGTCACTCTTCACCCGCTCACAGAGGCTCCGACACGGCTTCAGGCGAGAGTTCTCCTCAGCACCGCACTCAGGAACCACCACCCTGCACATGCAACCCACAATTAAATCTATTATACACACAGTGGTCCCTGCTCTATAACACAGTTCACCTTTTGCAGCCTTGATGTTTTATGGATTGTGAAAACTTTCTTTATAGAAAGTTTTGCGTTGCATGTATACTCCAACACCATATACAACATATAACATACTGCGTTTAGCTCTCTGGTCTCTCTCCCTGGTCTTCCCATAGCCCTCAGTCCTGCTCCTGTCCCTCAGCATAGTGTCCTCTGCAGCAGCATTTTACAGTGTATGCACGGCTTTTGACAGCTGCAGCAACGCTCAACCTTAAAACATAGAACTGCTACTTCAAAGATTTCACTTATTGCTGGTCATTTTTAGAACGTAACCCCCACACATTATACCTTCTATTATCAAATATATTATAAAAAATGCAGTTGAGACAGACCTGCACATGAGCGTAGCCACATCTGGAGAGCAGCCCGTGTCCACGATCTGCCCTATGTCCCTCAGGATGTATCCGGATACTCCGCTGGGGCTGGCACTGGTGCTGTAGCCCACGCTGCTGCAGAAACTGGCCTGGAACGGTCTGCAGTTCGGCTTGGCTCCTGCAGCCACCAGGAGCGTCCACAGAAGACCCAAAACCAAACACACCATGGTTTCTCTAAAGATGTGTTTCAGTCCTGGGTTTGCTATGAACCAAACAGAAGTCTGAAGTGTGTCCTATGTTGTAGTTCCAGTAAGTCCTGGTTTTGTCAAACTTATTGTAGTTCTTGTTCAGTCCAAATTTTCCTGATTTTAGTCCAGAATTCCCCCAGCTTAGGACTCGATCTGACCTGGTTTTGATATTTTCATTCTCTCAATTTGTTGGTTACATCAATTTGAGTCCCAAAATTCAGCCCTTGAGTTGTTCTCAAAGGTCCCGGATTAGCTTTAGATTGGTTTTAGTCCTGCTTTAGTCCAGTTGTAGTCTCTGCTTCAGTCGCAGTTCATCCGAGGTCTGTAACGCTTGCAAGTACTGCAGCTTGCATAAGAACACAGGAGGTGGAGTAGGTATGGACGAATAGAAAACTAGTCTTAAACGAGTACTCTGGAATAGAACAGGTCAAATGAAATCCCAGAACATCTCAGCAGGAGGTGGCCATGTGTTTTTCATTAGCAAAGGCTTTGAGCCAGAACTCCCCTTAAGCTCAAAGAACATTGTTGACAATTGTAATAACTGGGACGTTGTCAGAAGTGGCGACTGTAGAAGGCGTATTCATGAAGAAAGATTGTATTTTAGTATTTCAGCAGGAGCCAACTCCATGGGGTAGAAGATGATTGTAAAAGAAATGGGTAAAAAGAAAATGGCCTGTTCCTTTTCCAGATTGTTGACAGTGATTAGATTCTCAAAGCCATTGCTCTAGTCTCTCTCTAGATTCACAAAGCTGCAATATTATGAATGATGCATGTTTATGAACATGGTCATGACTTCTGGACACCTGTATGAGAAAACAAAGAGACCATAGTTGATAGAGAGGCCAGAGAGAGACTTTTGAGAGACCAAAGGGAGACCAGAGAAAGAGACAAGAGAGAGACCAAAGAGAGAAATCAGAGAAGGAACAAAGAGAGACCAGAGAGTGAACAGAGAGAGGGACCAAATAGAGAGAAGAGAGGCATCAGACAATCGACAGACTCATGTGTATCCGCAAACTCGTCCTTTTGGTTCATATCCAAAGCTCATCACCGGAGGAGAGGGAGAGGACGTAGACTGAGCGGTAGTTCCAGAGCAGAGAAGTAATTAAATAGAAAACAATTAGTTTGTTTTGAGTTTTTCAAGGGAACACCACGACTGAAGACAGGCCATTATGAATTTTGTTTAGGAACATAATTATAATTAACATAATAAATGATCATTCATTAATAGCACGGTGGCTGAGTGGATAGCACTCTGGCTTCTCAGCAAGGAGGTCCTGGGTTCGAATCCCAGTCGGAACAGGGTATTTCTGACTGGAGTTTGCCTGTTCTCAGCATGCCTGCGTAGGTTTCCTCCAAGTGCACCGGTTACGCCTACAATTAAAAACATGTACACTAGGTTAAATCCTCCAGCTCCGGTAGTCCTGACCAAGCCGAGCATCATGGGTTCCCGGGCGCTGTAGTATGGCGACCATTGCTCCTGACGTAAGCCATAGCGGCTTCAGGACGGGTCAAATGCAGAGGATGAATTGCCCTATAATTAATAAAGTGCATCTATACCTTTACCTTTATTATTATACAAACAGAAAAACACACATATACATTCAATATGGCTATATGGCATCAAGTCTACAGCAGGGGTCTCTACAAAGTCCTCAAAGAGCCAGTGTGGCTGCAGGTTTTCATTCCAACCAAGCAGGAGCACGCCAGACTCCATTCTATTGAAAACACTAGAGACCAGAGGAAACACAGTGATTACAAAAATATTTAAAATTAGTGTTTTTCAAGATGAATTTTGATGACTTTTCCTAACTTGACTGATCCTCGCTAATTTAGACCTGTTCAAACCTAAGCTTGTTATAGACCCGAAGGATAGTCTGAGGACGTGAAAGAAAACAGAAGTGAAGACCTGTCGCAGTGTAAAATCAGCTGGAGTGTTTGTGCCAATCTGTGCATGGATCTAGCATCTAGAAAGTCCTGTTCTCAAGTCCATAGACCTTTTGCACATCTGTGAGAATCGGACTCTCAAAACAGTTACGTCTCAATGTAAATCAATAGGAGTGAGTTGGAGTCAAACTTTACTATGAGCACTTCCCTATTGGGCGTCATTGAGTTCCATTGTTCATCTGTTTACAGTCTATGGCCCCAATATGTGTCCTGTAACTCTCAGCCTCAGTCGATCGAGCTCATGCAATCATAGGCAGGTGTGTCAAAGTAAGCAGTACTGCAGGGCTGCTCTGTGCACCTTTTTAGTAAACTTTTAACAACTTTTTAGCGCGTTTTTATTGTTCAGTTTTTTAATATATCTGAGTGTTTTATCTTTTTAATTCAGTGGTTTCAGCAAATAGCACTTAGTCCCGACTGAAACCCACTAGTAGCACAGAGGCTAACACAAGCTAACGAGGACATGGAAAGTGACAATGAAATTGGCTCAAACATGCACAATATTAGTCGCCTCACCTTGGAGCTCCGTGAGAGCGACCGTGCCACCATTGCAGAACTACGAAAAGAAGTCCTTCGTCTCACCGCAGAGTTGAATGAGAAACAATCTCTAGTGTCCAAACTTTTTGAAGTCGCTGGTGGGCAGCATTCACGGCTGATGTCACTGAGCGCTGCATATTGTGACACTGTCGTGTGGGAGAGATCCGTCAGCTCCGGACCCTCCTGTTCTACACCTAAGCGCCCGCTTACGAATAACGAGCCCGCGGATTCCGAGGAGCCATCCTGCGCCGTGGCCCATGTCCTGAGTCTGGCAAACCGCTATGCAGCCCTCTCCACTGACATCCCGGCCCCCTCAGCAGAATCCCTGGACACTGCAGCAAACTCTACTGCTCGAGGATCCAAGTCCACTGCGAGGAAAACGCTCCTAAAGGAAGCAGTCCTCAGGCGAAAGAGCGGTCCACCAGCCATGTTGGCCTGTTCCCCTTCTTTGACCCCAGTGCAGCAGCCTCAGACTGGGGTAGTGAGCCATCATCACCACCGCTCACCTCCACCGGGTCAGCAGCAGCGCCCAGAGCCAGCCCCTCTCACCGCTCCAGCGTCCCCGAGCACACAGCGTGGGTCGCCTGTAGCTGAGAGTCAGCACCCCCGCTCCTCCTCTCCATGTGTTCAGCGGCGCTCAGGCTCGGGTCCTGCTTCGGGTGAACCCGCTGGTTCCGTCCACCGAGCTCCTTCTCCGAGGCCACTCTTCGCCCCGACCACTCTGATTATTGGAGATTCCATCGTGAGACACGTCCGCTTCTTCAACGCGGTCACTCGCTGTATTCCCGGAGCTACTGTACCAGACCTGCTCATACGTCTCCCTCCTCTGCTTCAGTCCCTGCCTGATACCGTTTCCAAGGTAGTCGTGCATGTGGGAATTAACGACATGAAACTTCAGCAGTCAGAAGTCACGAAGAAACATTTTATGGATCTGTTCCACCTCCTTCAATCCTCCGGATTATCTGTTTTTATTTCTGGTCCAATCCCGACTGTAAACAGAGGTGACTGCCTCTACAGTCGTGTTGTGGCGCTGCATGTGTGGCTTCAGGCTACATGCAGCTCTTTTAACTTTGTCTTTGTGAATAACTTTGCCCTTTTCTGGAAACGTTACGAAGCCTATCGTCCAGACGGATTACACCCAAACAGATACGGTAGCAGCCTGTTGATGGATTACATACGTTATGTTGTTCAGCGTTCCCCGAGGGGGGCGTGACTGTTTACATCTGAGCCCCCTCGGACCCCACCGCACTCTCCCCCGCCTCCTGCTCACCAGCACCGGGTGAGTACAACGGTGCAAACACTGCTCCCTGTCCGTCTGGCAGTGCATTACCAGTCCAAACACTGAACTGTGCTGACTCCCTTCTGACTCTGGGAGCTAAAGAACAACAAGGGTTTTCACATTTTAGGCCAATTGAGACTGTGTGTGTTCCTCGCACCAGCTCAAAAATGTTTTTAAATTCTAAAAAACGAAATCAAAACAGGACAGCAGTTAGACGGTCCAACTCTGCAAATCTAATTTCTGTTCCCTGTAGAAATCAATCAACCACATTAATCGACTCTGACGTTATTTTTAAACTTGCTATGCTTAATGTCAGATCTCTATGTAACAAATCATTTTTAATTAATAATTTTATCACTTCTTATGATCTTGATTTTATGCTTATGGCTGAAACATGGCTGGACCAAAATACAGGAAATGCAGTTCTAATAGAAGCAACACCACCCAATTTTAAATTCGAATCCGAAATACGAGAAAACAAAAGGGGGGGAGGCATAGCTGCAGTTTTTAGAGAGCACTTTGTCTCCCATAGAATGCCCCTTGGAAATTTTTCATCGTTTGAGTATATTTCTTTTAAAATGGAACAAAAGCAATCTTCTACTCTTTTCATTGTCCTGTACAGGCCACCACAGTCATGTTGCGATTTTATTGACCATTTTACTGAACTACTTTCATTCGTGTGCACAGATTTTGATAGTTTAGTTATTACAGGTGATTTTAATGTACATGTTGATAATGTTGATGACAGAAATGCAAAGGAGCTGGCTTCTGTATTTGAGACCTTTGGTTTCATTCAGCACGTGAGTGGCCCCACCCACAGCAGGGGGCACACTCTTGACCTGCTAATTACAAAGGGGGTTAATGTATCAAATGTTAATGTAGTTGATGTTGCTTTGTCAGATCATTTCTGTGTATTTTTTGACATGTGTTTTGCTAGCAAACCACCAGCTGAATTTACAACTGTTAGAAGAAGACACATACATGAAAACACAAGTGAACTGTTCATGGGAATGCTAAATTTTGAGAAAACTCCATGCTCTACTGTTGATGAATTGTATAACTCTGTCACCACCAGTGTTCTGACTGTTCTGGACGCCATTGCTCCTGTGACGGTTAAAATAGTTACCAGTAAGAAAAAGGCCCCATGGACTAAGGCAGACTCGGTTAGGGCACAGAAGCAAGAGTGCCGGAGGGCCGAACGGAAGTGGCGAAAGTCCAATTTCCAGGGCGATTATGAAATCTTTAAAGATGAGTTGGGTGAATTTAACCGGGTTCTACGTAGAACAAGAGAAATGTATTTTTCTGACATTATTGGAGGTTGCAGTAACAATTTTCGTGTTATGTTTTCAACAGTTGGTAGATTAACGAACCCCCCTGTAAAGTTGCCCCTAGAATTTTCCTCTAAATCTAGGTGTAATGAGTTCGCACAGTTTTTCGATGACAAAGTACAAGGAATCAAAAACACTATCACCTCCACAGCACGTATAACAATGCAACAGCCAGAGAAGCTTTCTGAGCTAACTCACTTTGCACCTGTGGATACTGAAACTGTCAAAAAGATAATCATGAGTCTGAGCTCCTCCACATGTAGCCTGGATATATTGCCCTCTAAATTTCTGAAGTCCGTCCTGAGCAGTTTGTTACCTTCACTGACACAAATAGTAAACATGTCTCTGTCGTCAGGAACATTTCCTATGGCCCTAAAAACAGCAGTCATAAGACCTCTCCTAAAAAAGAGCAGTCTGGATCCTGCGGGACTTCAAAATTATCGCCCCATATCGAATCTGCCATTTATTGGAAAAATTCTTGAAAAAGTGGCCTCCCAACAACTTACTGAATTTTTAACAATGAATAATTCTTTTGATATGTTCCAGTCTGGGTTTAGACCCCACCACAGCACTGAGACCGCTCTAGTGAAGGTAACAAACGACATTCGACTTCACACTGATGCAGGTAAAGTCACAGTTTTGGTCATGTTAGATCTTAGTGCCGCGTTCGACACTGTCGACCATGAGATCCTCATGCAGAGACTGGAGGACTGGGCTGGTGTCACTGGCACAGCCCTAGACTGGTTTAGGTCTTACCTGGAGGATAGGAAGTACTCTGTGGAGATTGGAGACCGCGTCTCAGATGATGTGGCCCTGACCTGTGGTGTACCACAGGGGTCGATCCTGGGACCTCTCCTATTTAATCTCTACATGCTGCCGTTAGGTCAGTTAATACAAAGAAACAAAGTGTCCTACCACAATTACGCTGACGACACTCAGATCTATGTCTCACTGACTGCAGGAGAACATGGACCACTGGATTTGCTCCTTCACTGTATCCAACAGATCAGTGACTGGATGCAAAATAATTTCCTCCAGCTAAATACAGACAAAACCGAAATCATTGTCTTTGGTCCCCAGAAACAAAGAGAGGGCGTCATTTGTCAACTTCAGTCTCTCTCCCTACTTCCTTCAGACAAGGTCAGAAATTTGGGGGTAATACTGGACTCAGACCTAAATTTCAATAGCCACATAAAATCAATAACATCAACAGCTTTTTACCATCTGAAGAACATTGCCAAAGTTAGAAATATAGTGTCCAGGGCAGACTTGGAGATTCTTGTCCATGCATTTGTCTCCAGCAGGCTAGACTACTGCAATGGCCTGCTTACAGGTCTGTCCAAACAGACCTGTAAGCAGCTGCAGTACATCCAAAATGCAGCAGCTAGAGTCCTGACAGGAACCAGGAAGTATGACCATATTAGTCCGGTCCTCAGGTCTTTGCACTGGCTTCCTGTGGCTCAAAGAATAGATTTTAAAACGGCTCTGCTTGTGTACAAGTCTCTCCATGGCCTTGCACCAGAATACATTAGTGACATGTTGGTGTCATATGAACCAGCCCGGACTCTGAGGAGCACAGGGACTGGCCTCCTGCTGGTGCCCAGAGTGAGAACCAAACATGGGGAGGCTGCGTTTCAGATCCATGCAGCTAAGATCTGGAACAATCTCCCTGAAAATGTGAGGGAGGCGTCTACTCTGTCAATGTTCAAATCCAGGTTAAAGACTGTTCTGTTTGCCTGTGCATACAACTGAAGGATTTTATCTCCATTTTTAATGCACTGCTGTCATTTATTTATTTTTTTAAATTTCTTGTGTAATTTTGAAAGTTTTAATGGTTTTATTCTTTTGTGTGATTTTAATGTTTTAATTGTGTTTTAATCTTTTGTGTGATTTTAATGTTTTAATTGTGATTCTGGTGTTTGTTTTATGTGATGATTTGTGATGTGGACTGTGAAGCGCTTTGTGTTGCCATGTGTATGAAAGGCGCTCTACAAATAAACTTTGATTGATTGATTGATCCTCTGCCCTGGTCTGTGGAAGCCTGCGTCCTGCTTGTCCACCAGGGCGGCATAGTGTCCTCCGAGCTGCATCAGCTGCTGGTGCGTGCCCTGCTCTGGTGCTTTCCCCTCGTGCAGGTAAACCACATGGTCCGCGCTCCGCACCAGCTCCATCTTATTGGAGATCAGCAGCAGTGTACACTGGTCCGGCAGACGGGAGAGGGCGTCATGCACCTGATAACACAGCAGCAATTGTTAGAGGAATTTACAGAGAGAGAACAGACATTTTTAATTTTTCCAAAAAAACGCACAGCTCTAGAGGCAGAGTTTAGCAGAGTTCACTCAAGTCCCACCCATCACTAGAAAGCTTTCCTTATTGGCTACACGGACTATGAGCACTTCCCTACTGGGCGTCATTGAGTTCCATTGTTCATCTGTTGGGCGGCACGGTGGCTGAGTGGATAGCACTCTCGCCTCTCAGAAAGAAGGTCCTGGGTTCGAATCCCGGTTGGACCAGGGCCTTTCTGAGTGGAGTTTGCATGTTCTCCCCGTGTCTGCGTAGGTTTCCTCCGGGTGCTCCGGTTTCCCCTACCACTAAAAAAATATGTACAATAGGTCTGGCATGCGCCTCCTGTACTGGCACCCCCACTCCCAAAAAATAACAATTGTAAACCGCTTTGAGACTCCGATGTGCAGTGAAAAGGCGGTATATAAATAAAGATTACTACTACATGTCAATCATTCGGCAAAACAACAAACACAAAGGGGCCGTGCGCAAAAGGGAGTCGCTTGTTTTATTCACAGAGACGCTGCAAACGAAATCGAGCATGAATCTCTTCGGGGATAGTCTCATTTTGTAGCTAACGAGGTGGAGAACACAAGCACACCCTGTGTGTGGGTGAAAGACCAGGCTGGATCTCCGCTAACAGTGACAGAGCAGCCTCTGTGCTGTTTCACTTTGTTTTCTCCGCTAAAAATGAATGCCAATTTTTGGATTATTTCTGCAGAATGGATTATACTTTGGCAAATACATGTGGATGTTCTTTTTCCATGGACAGTTCCGGAGTGAAAGAGCTATTGGAAGCTGGGAGGAGATCTGATTTATTTATGTAGCACAAGCCCAAAGCTAAAAACTTTTTCGGAAAAACGCGATTAATGAAAAATGTAATTAACGTGCTTTAATGCGATAATTTTGACATCCCTAGATTGAAGTAAAACGTCTTTCTGACTACTACTACAACTTTATATGTGATTTGCTGAATGTGAGCACATAGGTAGTGATCGTGGTCATCGTGGCTGTGTTTATGTGGAGGCTTCACCTTCTTCTCGGTCTCTGCGTCCAGGTCACTGGTGGCGTTGTCCAGGATGAGGATCTGAGGACGTCTGATCAGAGCTCTGGCGATAGAGATCCGCTGCTTCTGTCCACCTGACACCTGCCCTCCTTTCTCTCCAGCGTCTGAGCACAAAGAGCTTCATGTGAGCTCCACAAGGTCATCTATAAAAGATCTTCTGTAAAGTTTACTTTACTTTAAAAAACCATGGAAATAAATTGCGTATTAACTTCACTTGAATTCCTCGAGTACATCGTTTACTTGATATTACCAAGTAAACTCAGGTGATTGCAATAAAGTTTAAATTTCTACTTATGCTCCGACCGGGATTCGTACTCAGAACCCTGTAGTTGAGAGGTAATGGTGCTAACCACTCAGCCACCAGGACACCCTGACATTGTCACACCTGCCTCATTAAAGACTCTACACATCAAAATGTCAAAAGTGAGGCTTATCTGAACAGAAACAGTTCAATTCAAAGAAAACCCTGAGTGACATAGGCAAGCTTTAAATAAACTAACAATAAATGAGTAATATCTACTTACTGGGAAAAATCTATTTAAAATAACTTGATATCTGAAGTAGGATTGAAGTTAGGGTTTACAGTGTGCATTCAGGTCTGGCCCCACCACACTGTGACCATGCATGAGGTGGCGTCTGGGCTGCATCAAGAGCTACATTTATCTCATCACATTTTTCTATTTCACGTTGTTTAGTTCCTGGACAAATATAATAAACCGCAACATTTCAAACTGTTCCATTTTCTCATTCTTTAAGATCAACAGTAGAGGAAGTAAACGCTCAGAACAGAAACAAAAACAGGAGAGTCAGTTATTACACAGCTGTCAATAAGCTAACCAGTATACAACTTATACTAGCATTGTCCTTCTGTATACAGTCTGTGTTAGCATTGTCCATCTGTATACAGTCTATGTTAGCATGGCCCATCTGTATAAAGTTCCAAACCTGTGTTGTATCCGTCGGACAGCTCTGTGATGAAAGTGTGAGCACAGGCCAGCTCTGCAGCTCGCCTGACGTCCTCCTCAGAAGCCGTCTCCAGTCCATATTTAATGTTCTCTTCCACCGAACGTGAAAACAACAGACAGTCCTGGCTCACTACGGCCATCTGACCACAGGGGAATACACAACCAGGAGAAATGTTGAATCTGGCCTTCACAAAACGAACAAATGCAAGACAGAATACTTAGGCCATAAGGTCATAGTAAAATCCATTGTCTCTTGTTCATGGCTCTTAAACACTTCTACGCTTCTATCACTAGTTTTCCCATGCCTGTGTTTTGGGTCTCTTTCACATCTTTAGATCATAAATAGCTCAGTCAAAAAAATGAAAAAGAGAGGACTCAGCCAATAGGGACTCCCAGGGCTCTTTCTTATTATAAAACATAACAAGTTTTCTCTGGGGTTACCGTGTGGTGGAGATATTGGCTCTTGTATGTGTGCAGTGGGTTCCCGTCCAGCAGGATGACGCCCTCTTGAGGCTGATAGAACCTCTGCAACAGTTTGACACAGGTGGACTTCCCCGAGCTGTTCAGACCCACCAGAGCGTTGGTCTTCCCCAGGATGAGTTTGAAGGACGCACCCTGCAAATACAAAACAAGCAAGGAAGTTTATTTCATACTAAAGGAGACAATATTGGATCAGCCTCAGTATTGGATCTACAGCCAATGATTTGTTATTATTGCATTTCCTGTGTTTGATTCTCTGATGTGTTTTTGGTGAATACACAACTTTGTACAGTCCTCCCCGATGACTGCGATTGTGATTTAGGGCTATGCCAAAATACATTGAAAATAATCGAAAAAGAGTAGCACCCTCACTAAGCCAATCGGCTCTCAGCGCAAGGAGTCAACAGGGTTTTTTTTAACGTATGCAAACGATAATATATTTTGTAATGAAATGAAGCCAGCATGTGAAGGTCTGACATTTTACGGTTTCTGTTGGGACAATCAAACTATCATTAATGAAACACAAAAGTTAGATACCCCAGCTTTAATGGTAGCTACCTCTCTCTCTCTCTCTCTCTCTCTCTCGATACGTATATTTTTTCCATATGACAATTATTGGTACAAACCTTGAGAACTTGACTGCTTTCCGTCATTCCAGGATACGCAAACGTCACATTTTTAAACTCAATGTCTTTTTCCAGTTTCTCAGGGGCCAGGGTTCCGTCAGGAGGACTTTGTGGGATCCGGTCTAAATACTGAAAGATTTTCTCAGAACCTCCGATGGCTTTTTTCACTTCTGGATAAAAGCGCATGACACTCTGGACAGAAGAAGAAAATATGAACCATCAGTATACATGCAGACCTCTCCTGTCTCAGTATACATACAGACCTCTCTTGTCTCAGTATACATGCAGACCTCTCTTGTCTCAGTATACATGCAGACCTCTCTTGTCTCAGTATACATGCAGACCTCTCCTGTCTCAGTATACATACAGACCTCTCTTGTCTCAGTATACATACAGACCTCTCCTGTCTCAGTATACATGCAGACCTCTCTTGTCTCAGTATACATACAGACCTCTCCTGTCTCAGTATACATACAGACCTCTCTTGTCTCAGTATACATACAGACCTCTCCTGTCTCAGTATACATGCAGACCACTCTTGTCTCAGTATACATGCAGACCTCTCTTGTCTCAGTATACATGCAGACCTCTCTTGTCTCAGTATACATACAGACCTCTCAGTAGGACTTACATCTACAGCAGAGGTGAACTGGAGCTCGTACAGGACAAAGGCCACCAGGTCTCCCCCGCTCACAGCTCCTCTGGTCACCAGTGTCCCCCCATAGTACAGGATGCCGACCTTCAGGGCCAGTGTGGTCATCTGCACAACAGGAGAATCAATATGTAAAATCAACCAAATGTTCACAAGCCCTGTGTCCCATTGTCAGTCATGGTTAAAGTCCTGGTTTAGTCCTGGTCTAGTCCTACTTTAGTCCTGGTTTAGTCCTGGTGTAGTCCTGATCTAGACTTGGTTTAATCCTGGTTTAGTCCTGCTTTAGTCCTGTTTCGTCCTAGTTTAGTCCTGGTCTAGTCCTGCTTTAGTCCTGCTTTAGTCCTGTTTTGGTCCTGGTCTAGACCTGGTTTTGTCCTGCTTTAGTCCCGGTCTTGTCCTTCTTTAGTCCTAGTCTAGTCATAGTTTACTCCTGGTGTAGTCCTGGTCTAAACCTGGTTTAGTCCTAGTTTAGTCCTGGTCTAGTCCTGCTTTAGTCCTGCTGTAGTCCTGTTTTAGTCCTGGTCTAGATCTGGTTTAGTTCTGCTTTAGTCCTGCTTTAGTCCTGGTTTAGCCCTGCTTCAGCTCTTACTGTGGCGTTTCTTCTTTGACCCGACAATGGATTAAGCAGAAGAGAGTGGATGGAACATTATACAACATTTATATACATATGTATTCATTATCCATGGCCTCGACCAGGAGCAAGAGGGCCCTGTGTTGTGTAGCTAATGCTAAGAGGGGGGTAAGACCGGAGTCCTCACGCTATTGGCCCAGGTTGTCGCAGAGTAGGCCGCTGCTTCCTTCTTGTTGAGAGCGTAGGTGTGGTCCAGGCTCCTCCTGTAGCGCTCCGTCTCTCCGTCCTCGTTGGCAAAGCTGCGCACCGTCTTCATGTTGGAGAAGGTCTCTGTAGCCACCTGGTTCTCTTTGGCCAGCGAATCCGTCACTTGTTTTGAAATGGCCTGAAACACAAAATGTGTGATCAGAATGAGGAGTTGGGGACAGCAGCAGGTCAGTCCCACTGTACTTTACTCTCACCTTGTTTGTCACTACACACAGAACTGAATCAGTCAAACACATTGTGAGAGACTATACTCTTGGTGACTCAACTTTAAGTTTTTTTTCCTGAACCACCATCTCTTTTAGACCTGCTAGTGTCAGAGATAAGCTTCTTCTCCTTTTTCCCACCAGACAATAAGAACATGTTAGGGAGCCCTATTGGTACATTTAAATGTCTAAATTGCCTCCTTGCCTTTTACTCACTTTTAATAGGTGCTAAAACTAATGAATATACCTGAAATACAGGATTGTTGTGAGTGACCAAATGCTAACTGCTGCAAGTAAGTACAGCGGTGTGTTGTTACGGTCACTAGCACTTGCTCTTCCCTGGTGGAAAAATCCAGAACCAGAACCTTGAAAAAGGGCTTTAACTGATAAAGAAAGTTGATCACCAAGTGGCCTAAAAGGGCTACATGAATTATATATTTAGCTGAATAGAGCAGTCAAATTGACTGCTTTAGGAGTTGAAGGTAGATCTAACTTTTCACATTTTAAAAATCAAAGACTCCCTGTCCACTTTCACCTGTTGTATGCTTTTAAATGTCTACCCTTCGTAAGGCGACCTTATAGTAAAGGCACCATATATAATATTTATTATCATTATTATCAAATAACACAATAAACTACATATTGAAACAGAAGTGAGGAAGTCCAAAAATATACATAAGCTGAGTAAGTACAAAACTCAAAGCCGTCGGCTGCTCTGGTTGTAGTGTCAGAGAGGTCAGAGAGGCACCTGTCTGAATTGTCCCAGGAGCTTGGGCAGCTCCCAGATGAGCGGCAGGACCATGCAGGTGAGCAGCGTGAGGCGGACAGACTGTCGCAGCATGAAGAAGAGGATGAAGGCCAGCCGCGCAGAGTACCACATGAGCAGACTGAGCGTCTCACTCAGGGCTTCACTCAGACTGTTGGTGTCCGTGGTGATGCGGGACACCAGCTCACCTGCGACACACAGGTGCATTATGGGAACAGGACACACACACAGGTGCATTATGGGAACAGGACACACACACAGGTGCATTATGGGATCAGGACGTCATACTGTATCCATGAATCCATGATAATATCTGGATAGGATATTACTAGCTTATAGCTTTCTCTGTGGGCACCTGCGGTACTGCAGACTAGGGATACAATACGATACACGATAATGATTATCTCACGATATGACGACGCAGCGATTATCGATATTGGTCAAAAATATACCTAAGATAATATTTTTTGTATATTTATGGCATAATTTAAGTGAAAAAATACACTTTATTTCAAGATAAATGGATTAAGTATCATGTGTAACATTAAAGTCAACAAGCAAAAATGCCTTTTAACCTGCACATTTTAGTAAAAATCGTACTTAATCTGTCTTACATCCAATAAAATCAATATGAACATTCTACAGAAACTGTAGACTGCGTAATGTAGCCATAAATTAAGTATCGATACTTATTTTTAAATCCATACTTAGCAAAAGCATATCGATAATCGATTGCCTGAGAAAGTATCACGATACATCACCATATCGATATATTGTCACACTCCTACTGCAGACAAAATACTACCCAGAAAAAAATCTCATAGAACTCAACATAAGCTTTCATAAAGGTTCGATTTCGTGGGGATTTTAGTGTCCCTTGTCATCCTGAACTTCTTTACTTGTGAAATCCATCAGTTTCCATAAAAATCAACACTTAGTCCATCTTGGATCACCGGGGCTTGGTATCCACAGCAGGACTCAGCTTTTTATCCTTTAAGCCACATTTGTCAAATAAAAACCTTTCCACCAGCTCTACTTGACTCTAGTCTAGTAGACCAGGGGTTCCCAAAGTTTTTAGCCCGCGACCCCCATCATAAATGCCCTGGTAACCCGCGACCCCGCCACCCCCCCACCCCCAACAGCCCTTCCGTCACATGAAATGAGCATGTATTTCCTTGATACGGAGTAACGCTTTCTAGAGACTCACGCCACTACCGAGCTGCACTGTCCAGCCCAAAAAAGGAGGCTTGCATATTTTTACTCATGTAGTGACACAGTGATGGGCTTGGTGTGCTCCCTCCTCAGCAGAAGTGGAGCGCATTTCTTGCGGCTCGCCCTCACTGTTCTCCTACCGCGGTAAAGTGGGCCGGCTTTCCGGAGTCAGCGGTAAAGAGGTCCGCACATTAAAAGCGGGCGGCCGCTTTCTGCTGTTACTTTATGCGGTTCATCCCCGCGGCTTCTCTTTCCAAAGTTACTGTCAGTAAAGGCATAAACCGGCCACCCGCTTTTAATGTGCGGACCTCTTTACCTTTGACTCCGAAAAGCCGGGCCTCTTTAACGCGCTGTTCTACCGCTGCCCTCCCTCCTCTGCCCTCTCTCCCTCCTCTGCCCTCTCTCCCTCCGCTGCCCTCTCTCCCTCCTCTGCCCTCTCTCCCTCCGCTGCCCTCTCTCCCTCCTCTGCCCTCTCTCCCTCCTCTGCCCTCTCTCCCTCCGCTGCCCTCTCTCCCTCCTCTGCCCTCTCTCTCCCTCCTTTGCCCTCTCTCCCTCCTCTGCCCTCTCTCCCTCTCTCCCTCTCTTCCTCCTTTGCCCTCTCTCCCTCTCTTCGCACCATCAGCCTGACCCCTGATACAAGTGACTTTTCTCCCCCTCCGGGTTTTTCTGTTGTGGATATTAACCACGTTTCATTTTAAAGCAGGTATTATTTATGTGTAGCCTCCAAACACCTTTAGTTTTAGCAAACAGCAGGACACGCTTTGTCCCTGCGCATGATGTGAGCTGTGTTACGTGATGATTTTGATTGACGCTGCAATGACTGGGACAAAATTACTAACGTTATTAAAATATATTATAGTCTCCAAACACAATTTAACAAGTAGTCCTTTTGAATCAAATCAAATGCTAAATAAATATTTAAGGACTTTATATTTGTAAGTAATAGTAATCTAGTAATCTTTTATTTATATACCGCCTTTTCACTGCACATCGGAGTCTCAAAGCGGTTTACAATTGTTATTTTTGGGAGTGGGGGTGCCAGTACAGGAGGCACCTATTGTACATATTTTTAGTGGTAGGGGAAACCGGAGCACCCGGAGGAAACCTACGCAGACACAGGGAGAACATGCAAACTCCACTCAGAAAGGCCCTGGTCCAACCGGGACTCGAACCCAGGACCTTCTTGCTGAGAGGCGAGAGTGCTATGGCACGGTGGCTGAGTGGATAGCACTCTCAAACTTTTTTTTGAGTTTGCTCAAAAAAAAAAAATCTTTTCTGTTTGTTTGTGTGGAAATCATCTTGCGACCCCCCCAGGGGTTCCCGCGACCCCCCGGGGGGTCGGGACCCCCACTTTGGGAACCACTGTAGTAGACAACCATCTCCCTCCCAAACACTCTGTCCATGTCTGATCTAACCTGTGGTCGTGGCCTGGAAGAAGCTGATGTCCTGCTTGAGAACGGCCTGGAACACCTCCCCCTGGACGACGGTGTGGATGTGGCTCATGGTCACGTTGTAGGTAAGGTCACAGATGAACTCCAGCACCGCACTGCAAACACAAACACAAACAGCATGAAACACAAACACACAAAAACACACACATACCTCTGAAATAATCATTGTGGTGCAAGCAAGTCACAAGAGTGCTCTTCTGAATAAACTGTACTTGCGGTTGTATGGTTTCTTATATGATATACATGCAACAGAAGGCTGAAAGACCAGAGAGAGACCAGAGAGAGACCAGAGAGAGAGACCAGAGAGAGACCAGAGAGAGAGACCAGAGAGAGACCAGAGAGAGAACAGAGAGAGACCAGAGAGAGACCAGAGAGAGACCAGAGAGAGACCAGAGAGAGACCAGAGAGAGAGACCAGAGAGAGAGACCAGAGAGAGAGACGAGAGAGAGAGAGACCAGAGAGAGACCAGAGAGAGACCAGAGAGAGAGACCAGAGAGAGACCAGGGAGAGAGACCAGAGAGAGACCAGAGAGAGAGACCAGAGAGAGACCAGAGAGAGAGACCAGAGAGAGAGACCAGAGAGAGACCAGAGAGAGACCAGAGAGAGACCAGAGAGAGACCAGAGAGAGACCAGAGAGAGACCAGAGAGAGACCAGAGAGAGAGACCAGAGAGAGACCAGAGAGAGAGACCAGAGAGAGACCAGAGAGAGACCAGAGAGAGAGACCAGAGAGAGACCAGAGAGAGACCAGAGAGAGACCAGAGAGAGACCAGAAAGAGACCAGAAAGAGACCAGAGAGAGACCAGAGAGAGACCAGAGAGAGACCAGAGAGAGACCAGAGAGAGACCAGAGAGAGACCAGAGAGAGACCAGAGAGAGACCAGAAAGAGACCAGAAAGAGACCAGAAAGAGACCAGAGAGAGACCAGAGAGAGACCAGAGAGAGACCAGAAAGAGACGAGAGAGAAAGACCAGAAAGACTTTGAATAAGGGAAACTGTCTGACAAACCAGAGAGCGAAGAGAGAGGGACCAGAGAAAGACCAGAGAGAGACCAGAGAGAGAAACTAGAAAGAGAGACTAGAAAGAGAGACTAGAAAGAGAGACTAGAAAGAGACCAGAGAGACTTTGAATAAAGGGAACTGTCCTGTTATACTCGCGGTTGTATGATGTTGTTGGAGTATACCCAGTGCGGTGAGTGTAGTGCGTTATACCTGGCCACGGTTAACAAAGCCATGACGGTGACGGCCTCGGTGAAGGCGTCCGGAGCCTCGTTGTTCATGATCCAGTCTGCCACACGCCCGGTGTACTGAGGGAATGCCATCTCACCTGAGGAGGGCGCCATGAGCATCAGCTTAGAGACACCAGATATGATTATCTTTTGGTTTCTTGGCAAATGTATTCTATTAAAATATAAAATACACACAATAGATAACAGGACTAGGAATTCCATGCACAGACCCTCCTTTGCCTGTGTGTTTTACAGTTTGCTTTTAATTGACTGACAGTTGGTTTTAAATGTTGTCAATGTACTTTAGGCATTTTAGGTTGCATTCTATATGTGCTATAGAAAATACATTTTGATTGATTCTTTGATTACCCCATTCTCTTAACAACTGTCTTAGCAACACATCGGGCATGAAGCTAACGCCGGGGAAGAAATGCCTATTTGACGAAATAAGATTCCGCATTAAGGCTAACACTATGGTGACTATATCTGATCAGGGGGAAGGGCTAGGTGTGGTGTACTGCCTCTGGTATCTCTGTACTTTCTCTGGTCACTCCCTGGATCGTCCTCTATGATCTCTCTACTTTTGATTTAAAGGCAGAAAACTGCTTGGAGTGTGATGTCATAGTGGTACAATGACATCATACTATTACAGTACTGAGACAGGAGCTTTTAGAGAGAAGGAGCGGCATGTTTGTGTTAGAAGTTCCTAATATTACGGGGAGGGGGAGGGGGAGAGCAATGGTGGTACACGTTTATGGGGATATTAATGAAAGTATATTTTTAGGTCCAGCTCTATACTCTCCATCGGATACTCGAGGGTTCATGGGAGTTCGCCCAACCTGTCCACATGTGCTTTGTGGATTTGGAGAAGGCGTTCGACCGTGTTCCCCGGGGTGTCCTTTGGGGGTCCTCCGGGAGTACGGGGTCCGGGGTCCTCTGCTGAGGGCTGTTCGGTCCCTGTATGACCGGAGCCAGAGCTGTGTTCGCATTGCCGGCAGTAAGTCAGACCTGTTCCCGGTGAATGTTGGCCTCCGCCAAGGCTGCCCTTTGTCACCGGTTCTGTTCACTGTATTTATGGACAGAATCTCTAGGCGCAGCCAGGGGCCGGAGGGGGTCCGGTTCGGGGACCACAGGATTTCATCTCTACTTTTTGCGGATGATGTCGTCCTGCTGGCTCCGAACGAACCAGGACCTGCAGCATGCACTGGGACGGTTTGCAGCCGAGTGTGAAGCGGCTGGGAGGAGAATCAGCACCTCCAAATCCGAGGCCATGGTGCTCGACCGGAAAAAGGTGCCTTGCCCTCTTCAGGTGGGTGGAGAGGTCCTTCCTCAAGTGGAGGAGTTCAAGTATCTCGGGGTCTTGTTCACGAGTGAGGGAAGGATGGAGCGTGAGATTGACAGGCGGATCGGTGCAGCGTGCGCAGTGATGCGGTCGCTGTATCGGACCGTTGTGGTAAAGAGGGAGCAGCGTCTGCAGTCAGAGCTGTATCGGACCGTTGTGGTAAAGAGGGAGCTGAGCCGAAAGGCAAAGCTCTCGATTTACCGGTCAATCTTCGTTCCCTCCCTCACCTATGGTCATGAGCTTTGGGTAGTGACCGAAAGAACGAGATCGCGGATACAAGCGGTCGAAATGAGCTTCCTCCGCAGAGTGGCTGGGCGCTCCCTTAGAGATAGGGTGAGGAGCTCGGTCACACGGGAGGAGCTCGGAGTAGAGCCGCTGCTTCTCCACGTCGAGAGGAACCAGTTGAGGTGGCTCGGGCATCTGTTCAGGATGCCTCCTGGACGCCTCCCTGGGGAGGTGTTCTGGGCACGTCCCACCGGGAGGAGGCCCCGGGGAAGACCTAGGACACGCTGGAGAGACTATGGCTCTCAGCTGGCCTGGGAACGCCTTGGGGTCCCCCCGGACGAGCTGGAGGAGGTGTGTGTGGATAGGGAAGTCTGGGCGTCTCTGCTTAGACTGCTGCCCCCGCGACCCGGCAACGGATAAAGCGGAAGAAAATGGATGGATGGATATTTTTAGGTTATTTTCCCTTTAACAAGCTGAAATGAATTGCAAAACAATGACGGTGAACAGCACTAACCGTAAGAGGAGAGAAACACCAGGATGACCACGACGGTGAACCTCCAGAAGTAGGGCCGCATGTATCCCAGCAGCCTTTGCAGCCGGTGGTCCGTGGCTGTGTCGTCGGGAGGGGAAGGGCTGAGGCGTGAGCGCACAAAGGCCGAGGCGGAGAGCAGCAGAGGGGAGACATCACCCCAGTACACCCAGGCCAGAGCCGTGACCGCATACCCCTGCAACACCTGCACAACCAGGAGGGGGCAGCACACACCGTGATGTAGACAACAAGATGCAATATTTTTGTTCATTCAAAACTATAACGAGTGTTTATTTTGTCGTTTCATGTTTTAGAATGTGAAATAAAAAAATGCTTTTATCCTCTGATCTCCCAACTGTTGTTTTAAAAGTGCTATGAGTATGTCATAGAGGTACAGAAGTTGCAATATTAGAATGGATGGATCTAAACACACCTCCTCTGACTGTTGAGGAACAAACAAAGATAAAATAAGAATATTTTGCAGAACACTTTTATTTTAAAGTAGTGCCTCTGTAAATACTCAAAGATAATGACTATAGTGATGGTAGATGCCTGACCCTGGTCCAGGAGTGACACCCCCACAGCTGCTCCTCAGTGGGCTGGTCCAGTGCCCACAGCAGACCAGTGTAGACGGGGAAGTGGAAGCACAGGACGCCGATACTGTGGAGCTCTGTAGATCCTCGCATCCAGCAGCAGGACAGGAGCAGAGCGGACCGGACCAGGGCCCCACACCATAGCCACAGCCAGGGAGAGGCCCTCACCGGGACCAGGCTCAGTCCATGGACCAAGACCAGGTCCAGGCATACACACAGCAGCACTTCAGCTACACGCATCTTGAGGGACTGAAGAGAAAGAGACTTAGAATGACAAGAGCTGTAGGATATCCAGAGAGAGACCAGAATGAGAGAATACAGAGACATGAGAGAGACCAGAGAGACACCAGAGAGCGACTAGAGAGAGATCATTACAAGTACCATATACACAAATATTAGGCCAATTTAAGTTAACACTAGAATTCTAAAAAAATCTGAAAAAAGCTACTTCATTTAATAAATAAATAATAAGTAAATACGGTATAATTTTTTTTTTTTTTAACCATTTGTCACTTTTAATCAAATGGTCACAAAATGCTCTATGATACAGTGTTGCTATGGTAACTAGACACTGGGAGAACATGCAAACTCCACTCAGAAAGGCCCTGTTCTAACCAGGATTCGAACCGAGGACCTTTTTGGTCCTTTCTTCAACTTTAGTTTGTCTTAACTTGAACTATCATTGAAACAACAAAAAGTTGAAATATGTCCAACCAGGAAGTCCATCCCAAACGTCACAAAACTCTAAAGAGTTTCTTTATCAATTCTTTATCATTAAACTGTAAGTCAGGAGGCGGAAGGACCTGAAAAACAGCTCAGGCCAAAGTATCTGTACTTTTTCTTTCATTTTCTCCTGCACGCAGCTTTTTATGAGAAATCATTATATAACTATATAACACAAAACAGATAGTTAAACTTGTATAACTTTAAACCCTTTTGGAGGGGTATTTGTGTTTCTTTATGAAAAAACCTCCAAGATTTATCAATAACAGATATTTATTAACAGACACAATGGATTTCGGAAAAGTACAAATAAAAGCGTAATGTGAATGAATCCAACATAAAATAGCTTTAGTTAGCTGCAGTTACGCGGTTTATAATTGATTTATGCCCAAATCTTTTAAAAAGAGTTCAAGAATTACTTTCAGGTTAAATTCAGGAAATAATTTAAAGTCCGATGGATTTGAGGACAGCAGCCACTACAACAACTTTATCACTTCTTTTTTAACAAACCAAAGTCAGGGGGTTTACAGGAAGTATAGTCTGTTATTCCATATCAAAAACAACAACTAATGCTAAATCTATGGCCACAGACACAGGCTAACAGCTACTTTCAGTTTGCGCAGAAAGCATTTTATTATTCTGAATAACTGCACTTACCATAGTTTCTTATCGTTCTTTAGACTCTGGAGAAATACAGACGTTATTCAATGGCTCGACTCGTAATGCAGCTTGTATTCACGCCACGCAATCCACAAAGTGACTGACAATGGACCGCATACAGCAAAACGAAAGTGAAAGCAAGTTGGCTGGAAAGTCCCCGGAGCGAGTGTACACTGTCAGCACAAACGCTGCTGCTTTAACACCATAGACCGTGTGTGTTTCACTTGTGCATGCTCAGAGTGAGGTAAGTATACAGCCTGTGACCGTTTAAATATGTCCCCATATGACTGTCCACGCACTTACTGCAGAACCGTGTATGCTCATAATGCGCATGCGCTGTGGCTGTAGCATGGTGGCGGTGGAGTTCCCTGCATTCATGGATCTATATAAAGCTGGGGGACCTAACTTTCAAACCACAAACAAATAGAACTCAGTAATATAAATCCATGTTCCTTGCTCTCAAAACAGTTTGCTTCTATCACTAGTTTTCACATGCATGTATTTTTGTCACATCTTTAGATCAGAAAAGTACAAAGGGAGAACCACCCGCACTCAGCCAATCAGCTCTCACCCCAAAGAGTCAAATTGTGACTCACAGGTCTCTTTTTTCAGCACGCAATAGATATAATGTCTAATCAAATGAGGACAGCATGTTGTCTGATTCAGTCCTGGATCTACAGCCTCAGTTCGTCTGTGGGACTCTCTAAATGTACTCTTCACTCTTTTCCCACTGGATTTTTAAGTGGTTCCTGAAGGACATGATGATTTTGGGCATTTATAGACATTTATGAACATTTTTTAACTGTGGTCATCCCGGTGCCTATGGACCAATGACATGTGTTTGTTCCTGTGTTCCAAAGGTTTGATTCTCTGATCTGTTGTTGGTGAATACACAACCTCAGAGACGACTACTGTTGGGAATTAGGGCGATACGTTTAGCGTATGACATAGTTTTTGTGGCTTGAAAGTTGCCCCAGCTTAAGAACTGGCCATAATATAAATCAAAACTAAATTAAAATGTATTTTCAAAAAGAACACTGAGACATACACGTAGAGTATTGCACCTGAATTTTGTGGCCTTTTTATGTTTAGTGCAACCTCGACTGAGACAATTAGAAACGTTTTTTTTTTTTTTGGCGATGCTATAATTATTCATGTGTTTACTTGGGCTTGCTACATTCTCGAGCGCACGCATCAAAGCCGACACTAAACTTCTGTGGAGTATTTTGAGGAGCGCACACACTGGGCTCCTGCTGCTGCACTCTGTTTGAACATCCCACTGTTGGACTGCGCTTCCGCTTTTTAACAGCCGGGAACATATCCTGGGCAACAACAAAGCCTTTAACCTTTTTCATGTCTTTAATTTTAACACTAGGACTCCCAGGGCAGTCATTTTGACAGTTCCCCTTGAAATTAATAGAATTCTGAAATAATCTTGTTTTTAAAGGGAGATAGTTTTCTACCAGTTTTATTAAAAAGCAGTAATAAAGGTTCTCCACCTTTACTGCGTTTTAATAATTGAAAAGTACCAACATTAGTTTCGGCTAACTGCTAGAGGTAAACAGTGTGTTGCTATGGTAACTAGCACCGCTCTACTTCTGGTGGAAAACCAAGCTGAACCAAGACCCTACAGGACCAGAAAATAGAGCTTTAACTCCCATAGAATGTTGGTTGTGGCTGAAAACGGCTAAATTTAAAACGGTTTAAAGCATTTGAGACATAACTAGTCACAAATCACATAAGCAGTAAGCCGTCAATTTGACTTCTTTGGGATTTCTAGTGTTAAGAACGATAGTGACATTATTTACATTATTTTGAGCACTAAACATGGTATTTACAATATGGTTTTTGGCACCTGTTTACAAATCTGTCTTAAACTTTCACCGGGCACTTCTGCTTAAAAAATCTCCTAATCAGAGGCATGGATAGATGCTGGTTGGACAGAATCATGGAAACTGTATATACAGCACGGTGGTTGAGTGGATAGCACTCTCGCCTCTCAGCAAGAAGGTCCTGGGTTCGAATCCCGGTCGGACCAGGGCCTTTCTGAGTGGAGTTTGCATGTTCTTCCCATGTCTGCGTAGGTTTCCTCTGGGTGCTCCAGTTTCCCCTACCACTAAATATATGTACAATAGGTCTGGCATGTGCCTCCTGTACTGGCACCCCCACCCAACATTTGTAAACCGCTTTGAGACTCTGATGTGCAGTGAAAAGGCGGTATATAAATTAAGACTACTTACTTACTATATACAGTGCATTGCAAAAGTATTCGGCCCCCTTGAACCTTTCAACATTTTGCCACATTTCAGGCTTCAAACATAAAGATATAAAAATTCTTTTTTTTGTCAAGAATCAACAACAAGTGATTCTTGACAACAAAATTTATTGGATAATTTAAACTTTTTTTAACAAATAAAAAACTGAAAAGTGGGGCATGCAATATTATTCGGTCCCCTTCCGCTAATACTTTGTAGCGCACATCGAGAGACTGGAATTCTTGCCCATTCTTCCTTGCAAAACAGCTCGAGCTCAGTGAGGTTGGATGGAGAGCGTTTGTGAACAGCAGTCTTCAGCTCTTTCCACAGATTCTCGATTGGATTCAGGTCTGGACTTTGACTTGGCCATTCTAACACCTGGATACGTCTATTTGTGAACCATTCCATTGTAGATTTGGCTTTATGTTTTGGATCATTGTCCTGTTGGAAGATAAATCTCCGTCCCAGTCTCAGGTCTTTAGCAGACTCCAACAGGTTTTCTTCCAGAATGGTCCTGTATTTGGCTCCATCCATCTTCCCATCAATTTTAGCCATCTTCCCTGTCCCTGCTGAAGAAAAGCAGGCCCAAAGCATGATGCTGCCACCACCATGTTTGACAGTGGGGGTGGTGTGTTCAGGGTGATGAGCTGTGTTGCTTTTACGCCAAACATATCGTTTTGCATTGTGGCCAAAAAGTTCGATTTTGATTTCATCTGACCAGAGCACCTTCTTCCACATGTTTGGTGTGTCTCCCAGGTGGCTTGTGGCAAACTTTAAACGAGACTTTTTATGGATATCTTTGAGAAATGGCTTTCTTCTTGCCACTCTTCCATAAAGGCCAGATTTGTGCAGTGCACGACTGACTGTTGTCCTATGGACAGACTCTCCCACCTCAGCTGTAGTTATCTGCAGTTCATCCAGAGTGATCATGGGCCTCTTGGCTGCATCTCTGATCAGTCTGATCAGAACTTCTGGAGTGAGTTTGCTGCACTGAAAGTAAAGGAGCCGAATAATATTGCACGCCCCACTTTTCAGTTTTTTATTTGTTAAAAAAGTTTAAATTATCCAATACATTTCGTTCCACTTCACGATTGTTTCCCACTTGTTGTTGATTCATGTTTGAAGCCTGAAATGTGGCGAAATTTTGAAAGGTTCAAGGGGGCCGAATACTTTCGCAAGGCACTGTATATATATATATATATATATATATATATATATATATATATATATATATATATGGACAATGCTAACACCCTAGCTCAATAGGCAAGTTCTCATCGACAAAGTTTTGCTCCTACTCCCTCTGTCTACTCTTGACTTACATGTAAAAGTAAACTCCTCTAGATGTTCGTGTCACACTCACCATTTTGATTTTGTCTTTGTAAATCCAGATCCAGGGGCCATACGGATTGACCAATCAGATACCTTCCGCGTTCAGCTAACACTATGGTGACTATTGTGGCCTGTGGAATGTTGCTCCACTGCTCTTCAATGTTGCTGGATATTGGCAGGAACTGGAACACTGTCGTACTCGGCAATCCAGCGCATTACAAGACACATGTCCGGTGAGTGTGAGGCCATGACTGAACGGGGATGTCTTCAGCTGTATTGTGCACAGATCCTACAACATTCAATTACATGTATTTTTGTCCATTTGCCAACACAGATGCGAGAATCAAGCAGTTAAAATACAGGAAATGCAAGGATTAAAAAAACACATAGAGCCATTGGTCCATAAGTGGCAGATGCCCAGTGCCCATAAATGTTCATAGATGTCAACTCAATTTAACTCAATAATGTTTTCATAGCCCTAAATCACAACAGTAGTAATCTCGGAGGACTTTACAAAGTTGTCGATTTATCAATGATGACCAATAGCCATACATTTAAAAAAAGTCCATAAATGTGTTGAGTGTCCAAGATCACCAGCACTGTCCTTAGACCCTCCTGAATCGGCTAGATGCACATGGGAACTAAGATATTTTAAATGCAAATGTAGATAGACCAAACATGCACGAATCTGCCTAAAAATAACTGTAGCTGCATGTAACGAGGACCATTTGCTAAATACGTCTCCCCTGTGGCACTTGCGGTGACGCCCCGGGTTGTAAATCAGGCCGTGAATTTTGAATTTGAAAAACGCGTGGACTCGTAGCGCGGTGACCTTCTATTCTTCTGCGCACAGAGGCAGGAAGTGGAGCGGTATCCTGTGGGCTGTGAGAAAGACCCACAGAAAGCCAGACTCTGTGGCCGCGCACATACACACTCCGGGGGAGACATGGAGGCGCGCTGGACCCTGGCCACGCTGCTCCTGCTGGGGATGAGCCGCTCTGGTCACGGTAAGAGCTCCAGGGTTTTCTAATCATCAATTATCCTCATGACTCACTGTAGAATGCCCCTGCTCAACTGTCCATGTGACGTCAAGGCTTGGTTAGCCCATAATTTTTTAGTAATGAATAAGGGAAAAATGGAAATTTTAACATTTGGACCGGCCCTTACGGACTTGGGACCACTAGGAAATTATGTGCGTTCCAAAGTCACCAGCCTTGGCGTGACTATAGACAGTGATTTTAAATTTGACAAACAAGTGAATGGCGTTTTAAAATCGTGTTTTTATCATCTTCGGCTTTTATCAAAAGTGAAGCCATTCTTATCTTTTAACTTGTTAGAACAGGTTGTGCATGCTTTTATTTCCAGTCGTCTGGACTACTGCAACGCACTTTATGCTGGTGTCAATCAGGAAACCCTCTCCCGGTTGCAGTTGGTCCAGAACGCAGCAGCACGACTTTTAACGGGGGCCAGAAAGCGCGAACACATCACCCCTGTACTCGCGTCTTTGCACTGGCTCCCTGTTCATTTTAGAATTGATTTTAAAATTTTACTGTTTGTTTTTAAATCTTTGCATGGACAGGCCCCTGATTACATCTCGGACCTCATCCAAATGTACACTCCTGCGCGCGCCCTGAGGTCCGAGAGCCAGCTCCAGCTCGTGGTCCCTAACGCGAGACTTAAAACCCGGGGGGACCGAGCCTTCTCTGTGGTCGGCCCTAAGCTCTGGAACGCTCTTCCCCTCCATGTCCGGACGGCCCCCACAGTAGAGTGTTTTAAGTCTCGTCTTAAGACCCACTTTTACTCTTTGGCTTTTAACACTGTGTGAGTTGTGTGGTCCTCTGTGTTTTTATTTTATTTCTATTTATGGTTTTAATCTGTTTTATATATTTGTATTCTTTTATACTTGGTGAAACTAAGGATAAGTTGTTATTTATTTTATACTTTTTTGTGCAGCACTTTGTAAACGTAACTGTTGTTTAAACATGCTATATAAATAAAGTGGATTGGATTGGATTGGATTAGAAGCATTAGAACCAGAGGTGGGCCAGGGACAGGACTAGACTATAGGTAATTAAGTATAGATATTTGTACAAAATGTGGTAAAAGTGATGTATTGAAATCACGTCCTTACTTAAAGCTTTTTTTTGTATAATTTTCAAATCATATAAAAAGGTACCTAAATCTAAATCAGAATTTATATCACCAGTTTGCTTCTGTCGTCAGTTTTCTTTAGATCAGCCTCATTCACCCAAAAGGATGTGTCCCAAAGTCAAATAGTGACTCACAGGGATCTTTCTTACACAAAAGTTACAATGTTTTTTAATAATATGAAGACAGCATGTTGTGGGCTGTTGTGGACTCTTTTGTAGCTGATGAGATGGTAAACATTTGTCATTCAGCCAACTTCAGCTTCAATATGGACCTGATGTTTAACCCCATTCTAAGGTTAATATTTGGTTGAATGTGGTCAAAACAGTTTTACGGTCCATATTGTGGCCCCTGGAAATGTCTGCTGAACAAAGTGGTCTCTTGCTATAAAGTTTGGAGTCACATTTACACAAGGTGGCTCAGTCTGTAGAGAATTGGCTTTTGGGCCGGAAGGACGTGGGTTTGATCCCGACTTTGACTGAAATGCTCCCCGCTGAACGATCAAGCTCAGAGCAGAGGAGCCCCTCACTGATCCTCCAGTGGGATGGGGAGCAGTGGGATGGCTGCTCTGTGAATTGAGTGGCAGCTCTGAAGTAGCACCATTGAACACACTTATACTGATGTTTGGGACGTCCATGGTGCAAGCATGAGTCAATGTGACCAGGCCTTCTTAACGGACGGACGTCTTGGAGATCCGTGGCAGACATCTTGGAGACCCGGGGAAACTCCATGAAATCACTCAGCAATGCCATACATCTGTAACAGGCACAGTGGCTGAGTGCTTTTTGTGTTTTATGTATTACTCTCATTGCATTGTTAACCTTAAGAGACTGAGATCATCAATCAATCAACTTTTATTTTTCGAGTGCCTTTCCTACGCAAGGCAACACAAAGCTCCTCACAACCCATATCACATCATGCATAAATCATTAAACATTGACATTTACATAAACATAAGACACACAATAAGAGAACATTAAATCTCAAAAGAAGTAAAAAATCTTAAAACATTAAAATCACACATGGGATTACAATCATAAATAGCCACAGTGCATTAAAAAGAGTACAGATAAAATCAAAGATAAATGATATAGACATCCAGTCAACTTCAGCTCTGCCCATACAGACATGCATGGGCACAAATACATTCATTTCAATGTATTTGTGTGTCACCCTAAATCACAGTAGCAGTCACCTCGGAGGACTTTACAAAGTTGTCGATTTGCAATAATAACAAACTATGTGTTTGTTATTGGTTTATAGTGAAGGAGATGACCATTGTCCATAAATGTTCATGTGCACAAATGTCCTGATGATCACTGTCCTTAGACACCTCTCAACAACCAAATGAGAAAAAAGTGAGAAACCTCCGGTAGGCTCATATTGAAGGAGGGATCCGCTCCCATGGGCAGACGCAGTTAATCCAGGTCTTGGGCTGTAGATCCAGGTCTGAGGATATAGATCCAAGACTAAGGCTGTAGATCCAGAACTAAGGCTGTAGATCCAGAACTAAGGCTGTAGATCCAGAACTAAGGCTGTAGATCCAGAACTAAGGCTGTAGATCCAGAACTAAGGCTGTAGATCCAGAACTAAGGCTGTAGAAGTTCTTCTGAGTTTCTCCCTGACTAAATTTTAAAACTATTGTTAGCTACTTTTTAAAATAATCGTTGTTTTTTTGTTTTTTTTATGGACGCATGTGTTTCTGCTGCTACTGGACACCTGAATTTCTCATACAGGTGATCAATATAGTATCTATCTATCTATCTATCTATCTATCTATCTATCTAAATAGCTACAATGACGTATACCTGACCAGCTGCTTCTCCATGGAGAGAAGCAGATGGAAAACAGAAGATCTGCAGCATCCGCTTAACATGACATTACAAGCATCTCACAGAACAACTGAAGTGTGCTCCTGCTTGTGGAATTTAATACAGATAATGTGCAGAGGAGGGGTCCTTCAGACATTGTGGAGGGAGCCTCATGGTTTACGAGAGTGCTGCAGGATCTGTGGAGTTACACTTCTTAAGGGCCTCACGAATATTCCAGTTTTCAGGTCTCTGCACTGGCTTCTTGTGGCCGTGCCATATGATCCAACTTGGACTCTGAGGAGCACAGGGACTAAACATGGGGAGGCAGCATTTCAGATTTATGCAGCTAAATGTCCAAATCCAGGTTACAAGCAGTTCTGTTTAGCCGTGCATACAACTGAAGGATTGTATCATACATGTACTTTAATATACCGTATGATTATGATAATGTGATTATTTATGATTATAATGCCTTGTGTGATCGTTTCTATCTTGTTTTGTTGAACACTTGAGTTGCCTTGTGTAGTAACTGTGCTATACAAATAAACTTGCCTCCTCCTTGTGATCATGGTGATCAGTCCCCAGACTGTTCAAGTTGTTTATCGACTTTCCTCAGTGTTTTCCCAGGAAAAGATGATTGATGAATGCTATTATTGACAAATTTTAAATTAGCAGAAAGAAAGTGTGCGTATGGGCCATTTGACCAGATTCAGGTCAGTTCAGATTGTGATACAGTTGATACAATCAAAAACAGACATCAATATTTGTTCAAGTACTATATAGAGCTCAACAGGAGTAGGCAGAGGTGAAAATACGTATAATTGCCCTTCTCTGCATTATTACTTTACATGGTGTCTATCTGTCGCTGCAGAGACACGAGGCGTGCACCTGCCAAAGCCATGGCCCTCTTCCATTGTCAAGGTAGCTCCGCCCCTTCGGACCTTCACCCCTCCCGCTTCCTGTGAGTGCCGGACACTTCCTGTTTATGTCCGCAGCACTTCCCCCCTCCCCTCCCTCCTGTAACACTCTCAGTCTGACCTGCTGAGGCCTGACCACGAGAGCTGAGTCCTGACTATAGATCCAGTCCAGTCCGGTCTAGCACAGGTCACCAAGGGGATGAGGGACAGTCCTAGTTTGTGGGGAAAACAAATATTGGTCCCATTTATAGTGAGACATCTCCCATTGACAGACAGAATGGTGTCTGCAGTGAGGTACTCGTATCAGACTGTTGTGGTAAAGAGGGAGCAACGTCTACAGTCAGAGCTCTGGAGTTTCTGCTCAGTCTGCGTTCCCCCCGTCACCTCTGGTCTCAAGCTCTGGGTAATGGCCGAAATGACACGGATACAAGTCCACATGGATTTCCTCCGCAGAGAGGCTGGGTACTTGCATAGAGAGGACCTTAGAGACGCTGATTCCGGCTCTTTCGTTTCACCTCTGTTCTACCTGGAGTGTAAAAGTGTTTTGACTGGATTCTGGCTGTTCTGAGACTTAAAATGAGGTACCGTGGGTGACAGTAGCTCAGTTGGTAGAGCATTGGCTTTTGAGCCAGAGGGTCGTGGGTTCGAGCCCAACCTTCAGCATTGACTCCCACTGTCTGCTGTTGTTGTGTCATTGGGCAAGACACTTGACCTTTGGGAACACCAGCCACAGTGGGGCGGCTGTGGCTGTAAAGTGCCAAACCGCCGTTGTGTCCTTAGGCAAGACACTTCACCCCCATTGCCTAGAATGATTATTATAAAAAGAATTGTGCCACAATCACTAAAGCCCTGTTTCCACCTGGCCTGCGCTTGTCGGTCCTGCTCTGCTCTGCAGGACCAGTAAATGCGCTATATAAATAAACACTACTTACTTACATACCTAATCTAAAGCTTAATGGAAATGTAACCAGGTAGAGTAGAGTAGAGTATAGAGTAGTATAGAATAGAGTAGGGCCAAATTGGGCAGTATGAAACGAAGCTGATCTACACAACATTTGTCTCAAGAGGCTATTCCTCTTAATATGGAAATGTGAAATAAGAAATATAAAAAAACATCTGGTACCATGTCTT